ATATATATATAATTATAATAATAATTTATTTATTTATTTATCTATTTATATATATTTATTTATATATTTGTATATACTGATGAATGCCACAATTTGAGTACTTTCGTTTTATTCGCTAGATAATTTTTGGACTCTGGACTGTTTTTATTTTTCAGAGAAGACAAAGCTACTGGTGACAATTTAGTAGATTTAGATAGACTGGAAGATCAGTTAGTGGATGAAGCTGTTGTCGAAGCTGAGGTATTATTTAATTATATCACTCAGCTGTGTGATGGCTTGCATATGTATACATATGATGTTTTGTTTTTAGTTCCAGATTGAAAGGAAACAGTTGGTTACTTCAGTGGATAACGAATCTCAAGAAAGGAAGATTAAAAAAAATGAGCTTACTATTATAAGTAATGATTTTTATGCAGAGGAACTCACAGTTGAAGTTCAGCAAAGCTCACGAGAAGATACACGAGTGAAATTTAACGCTCAATCAGGAAATAGACAACAACGAGCACGTATGAAATCATTAAGAAATAACTTCCAAGAATTGGAAGATGGTAAAAGGAAAAGATTAGCACGTAATTCATCTAATAAGCGCCGCACAAAAGCTAATCTGAATGATGGATCGGATAAAGTGAATTATATGCTTCCAGTGGAGCGCAACAGAGCAGTGGTATGTCTTTTTTATTTAATTTTTATTATTATAATGATATCTGTGATATTTTTACGAATTTTCGCTGCTTACGTGTGATTTCAGTCTCGCGAGGAGCGGAAAATGCAACAACAGATCGCGCTTTTCGAAAAGATGCAGCAACTTGAGACGAGACGTGAAAATTTAGCTGCACGACGTCGATCTAGAAGTAGTGGAAGTGCTATGTCTTCTACTTATAGCATATCTGAATGTGAAGTAGTTGGCGAAAGTACTTCCTCTCAAAGTCGAAACTCAAGAGACAGGAATCGATCTAAGTAATTTTATCTTATGAAAGCTCTTATTTAAAAATATTGCTTTTTATCGTTTTTCTTATCAAGGATTAACATATGAGCATCATTGAGGAGTGGTTTGAAAATGGATAAGGATAAGAAACCAAACGTGCGAAAGCGTAAGGGATTGTTGCGGTCCCCTCATGCGTCTATTAAACGAGGTCATACTAATAGTGGAAGCGAAAATCAACAGGGGAGTATTGAGCAAAAAAAAGGTTTGTAATATTTTTTTTAATTAGATGACGACGATAGTGCCTACTGTAGTAAGCTGATAAACTGGGAAATGAATATATGAAAGAATTAATTTTATTGTCATTTTTAAAAATGGTCTACTAAGAAGATTATCCATTTTAAATCTACATAGATTAAGAGTGAGCATTTTTATGTCATTTTCATTTTTCTCCATTTTTCTGTTTCGGTTTTCATGGAAAAAACTGATCAGTCATGATTGCAACATTTTCAATTTCATATTACTTATTGTCATTTTTAAAAATGACAATAAGTAATATGAAATTCAATAATATTACTCTTCTCATTGAGTTTCCGACAAACATCATATTCAGTGTTTCAGATGTTGATAAAAACGAAGAACTCAATTCTTCCGGAGTTTCTAGTTTGCTTATTCCTGATCCTTCAAACTGTGAGGCCTTTGGGAATTGCGAAGAACGAGGAACCATTGATGCAAATATTTCAGAAGACTCAAGCGCTGATTGCAGTGACGAAAAGCAGAAAGGAAATAAAGTGGATATTAGTTATTTTTTGGTTAATTCAAACATTTGGTAATGTTTTCGTTTTTCATGAAAGAAGAATTTTCAGGACGGTCAGGTAATGGAATTGGGGATTGAAAGTAATAGTAAAAGCGAGTTAGATGCATCGACGATGACTCAGGAATCTGCAGCAGTTTCTGGCAGTGGTGACTCGTTAGATGCTGTTCAACTAGGTAGCTTTTTGTTAGTAATGTATATCAATATTTCATTATTTACTGTTCGGTCCAAAGTATTTTGAGCTCTGACTATCGTAGATGCAGCTTTTATTTTTCAATTTTTTCATTACAGAAGACGTTCGTGCATTCTTTTCTAAGATGGCTGGAATTGAAGCTGAAAGTAAACCATCGGATTTTGCGTTGCATTTTCGAGCGTTAGAAACAAGTACTGTTCCATCAAAAGTTGATGATAATGAGAAAGAAGTCGAAACTGTTGTACCTCCTAAAAAGAAAATGTCGCTGGACGAGTACAAAAAAAGAAAAAGTTCAAAAGCTGTTCTAGATTCCATTGAGTAAGCTTCTACCTTTGATGGATTTTGCAACCAAATATGTTTGCATTTCTCTTCCGACATTCTTTAGGTTTTGGTAATTTTTGCATTATATTTTGCATCTGTTATTTAATTGTAGTTTGAACTTTAGTCTTTGCAGTTTAGTTTGTGGTTTCGAAACATTATTTTCCATAATTTCTTGTCTATTCGGAAATTTTTCATGCATCGAAATCGATTCATGATATTTTGCAGAGCATCACCCAACACGGCTGAAAAGGAAGCTCACTGTAGTGAACTGGCACAAGTACCAGTGACTCGTTCTTTCATGCCATCAATCAGTTCTAGCGAAGGGCGAACCTCACTTCGTCTCGGTGTCTTTCCAGACCCTGTTCAGTTACGTTCTAATGCCAAAATTTCTATTGATGATTTGAAACGCCGTATATATGGTCGAACGATCCCATCAACAAATCCTAGTTGTAATGCAGAATGCACCTTACCTTTCGTTACAACTAATGTTTCACGTGTTTCCTCAAAGCAGTTGGTTAGTTTTTCATGTAAATATACTTTCCAAAAATGTGGTGGTAGGAATATTGCGTTCAGCCTTGCACTGTTTTTTAAATGCTTTTTTCCCTGGCAATGTTATTATTCCTTAATTTTACAATTTGGGTGTATGATGTTGTCCATTGCGCTTTTGATCTATTTTCACTATTTCTGGAACACATAATATTGGTTTCATGTTCACTACTTCTGGAACACAAGATATTGGTTTCTAGTTTCTTGTTAATATAAGATTCTTTCTAAGATAATTTTGATGTCATAATTCCAGCTTATTTATTGTAGGGGAACTCTAACGCGCCTTCGATCACCTTACCATCAACAGTACAAGAAAAACCTGCTACAGCAATAGCTGGCATTGAAAAGTTGTCACTAGACGAAAGATTGCGTTTATTCATCAATTCTAGTGATAAAGGACATGCCATCAATTTAATGCCGTTTCCTCCTGCACCTCCTCCTCCACCTCCTCCTCCACCTCCTCCCCCACCTCCTCCTCCACCTCCGCCTCCACCACCAACATCAATTATAATTCCACTTCCAGCTCCTTTTCTACAACCACTATCGAAATCGTCAACAGTGAAACCACCATCAGTGAAATCATCAGCAACACTGCCATCTCCAGTGGCACCATCACCAAAATCAGTACCGTCCCCAACAACACTACATATATCGCTACCATCACATCGCTCAGTACCGAATCGATCTACATTACGTTCATCAGCATTACCCCCCTTAGTACCACCACCATCAACTCTATCACCATCTTCACTGCCACCACCATCAACATCATTACCATCTTCAGTGCCACCACCATCATCAATACCACTACCATCAGTGCCACCACTCTCAGATTCGTCATCAGCACTTTCTCCACCGCTACCTTCTACACCTCTATCATCTGCATTACAAGAACCACGTACAGTACCACCATCATCACCAGTCCTACAATCAGAATCAGTGTCGTCGCTAACATCACTTTCACCATCATCCATATCACCACCTTCTATACCATTGTCATCAGCTTCATCGCAATCACTGCCTCCATCACATCATTCTCCTAAAAGTCGAGGTCTGTTTTGTGATGCTAAGTGTATTTAAATCAGTTGAAAAATGGTCTTTAATCTCTTTAATTGTTGGTAGGTCTTCAGATATATTGAAAGGAGATAACTCAGACAATGTTCATGCAGATATTCCTTTACCGTCATCTACGATCAAACCATTTAGTAGTAATAGTTATTCAAGTTAGTCTTCATATGGTTCGCTTATATCGGGTTCCTGCCACACTTGACATCTTAATTGTAAGTTGCTAAAATTCTTAATGGATGCAGATTCTGATGTATAACATTTGGTGACTAATATTCTTTTCCTTTCAGATTGCCCACTGTGGCAGCACCGGGTTTAAGATTGTTGATATGCTCATGAAATATTCTACCTCCCGAGCACTTTTTTAATGATTTTTGGATTATTTGTTCCATAATAACATGTCCAAATACCAACCTCTTCAATTTAGAGCAGGTAATTGTGAAGTGCATTTTATAAGGTTTGGAGTTGTTTTGTTGAAAACTTCAAGTCACCTACTCTTTGTTTTTGATTATCCTGGAAACCAAAACAAGCATATCAGCAAAAAAATATTCAGTGCATTTTCTGTCGATTTCTTTATCTGATATCTATCCTTTTTCATAAATAAAGAATTTCTTGGGAATATTCATTGTCTAGTTTTTGATAAATGGCAGAATATTTCGTTTTTTGAATCTGAATTACTTTATTTTTACAGTTTACACTATGAATATAACTGTAGCATAAGTTTCTCGTTGATTCTGTCAATGAGAACTTTTTGACATCATGATAAGATAGAAGGTTTGAGATATTTTTTGACATTTTTACGATATTTTTCTATCCTTTGCTCTTGAGATGATGTTGTTCTCTAATCCTGGTTGTTGAAAATCATTTATATTTTTTGTTAATTGATGTAATTGTGCTATAGCAGCGTTTCTCTTAACATGTTTCAAGAACTTAGTTTTACTGTATTGCTTTCTTTTATCCCTCCTGTACTCATCAAATTTATTTTTATAATTTCCTTACTGAAGGTTTTTTATTTATCCCATTATTGTTTGAATTATTTGGAAATGAATGCAAGCCTCAGCATTTTTATCGGTGGTCAAAAAGTTGTATCATGTTTTTTTGGTGTCTTTGGTTATTTAATTTCATTAATCATTCTCAGAGCTAGGTGAGGCTGCGTTGTATTTAATGGAAGTTGTATTCACTTCAGGTAGAGTTGTAATGCATAGTTTTATGATTCCTGTCTTCTTAAATTAGGATCATTTAAAAGACGTTAAATAGAAAGGAAAGTATTCAAGAAAGAAGGTTCTGAATTGATGCATTACAATGATTGCTGCTGTTTTAAATTGATGCCGTTTTGAAGTTTTAAATTTCACCACTAGATATTTCGGTGCCTTTTGTTCAGGATTTCTATATGGATCTGTTTACCAGTTTTATCGCATGCTTCATTATTGTTCAAAAAAGTGGCACCGATAAAGATATGAAAATTTTTTCGTTGCATTTGTAAAAAAATAAAGAAATTTAATATGGTAAGATTTTAATTGTGAAAATAACTGAGAGAAGATTTGCTGGGGGCATAGGTTTGTTTAGTGCCCAGAAATGAAGTCAATATCCGGTAGGCTGGAAAGTAATCACTGGTATTCTGTTAGCAAAATTCAAAGCATAGGTGGCAGACCAGTACTTCTGGTTTAATTGCAGGCATGGTCTTGGGATTTTCTGGATCGGAGGTTGTCATGAGTAAGGAATCTGGTTTTAGTTCGGTTCTTATGGGGTTACTACCTGTGGTCTTAAAAATATGGATGGGTGAATATATGTAGCCAGCAGTGGTCAGAATTAGAGTAGTACTACAAGCAGAAAAAATGCTATATCATCCAGCATAGCATTCCTCAATACATGAGTAAGTGCTGCGGTTTTATAGTCCATCGTTTGTAAATTATTCTGTTCTTGCACATGAGTTTCAGGAGATTCCCGCTTTTGCTACAAAATTTTAAGTAGATAAATATAACGCAAAAATATTCGGGGGTCATTTATTTTGCGCTGATTGTGGACATAAGTTGGAAGCATTGAGTCACTACGATAGTCATGACTTGATTAAGCTAGACGAAATATCAAAAATATTTAATCATATCCTAAAAAATGCAATACTTTAAGACAGTATTATGATGCAGTAATAAGATAGATGTTCAAAGTGTAATTAATTGTCTTGTATGATCTGGAAGTAGACTTATTCATTGAGTTTCCCAACAAAAGGTTATAAACACAACCATACTATATATCCGTCTATGACTTTAATTTCTTGAAATGAAGAAATCAGTTTTGTTTTAAGTTAATGTGATTGGTATTTATTTATTACTTATTTACCAGTTTGCATGTTAAAAAATTTTTGTTTATTGCAGAAATGCTTCTGCTTAGTGAAACATAATTTCAAAAAATGAACTAAAGGAAATGAATTAAAATAAATGCTTCAGAAACTTATCATATTTTTTGTTTCTCGGATGCTTTGTGGAATCAGTGTTTTAAAATATATCTCGTCAGTATTGATTAATTTGTACTTTATACTCATTAGTATTAAAAAAGATTGATTGTGTTTGGTGTGCAGAATCGAGAAGTAAAATATTGATGCAGATAGATAGATCTTTGTTTTTTGAAACTTTCCTTCAAAATACATATGGCAAGCAAGTGAAAAAAAAAACTGAACTTGAAAAGCAGTGAAGATGATTCTGTTTTTTAATTCTTGTAATAACTTTTGAAAGATTGAAAGAGCGCAAAAGTTGAGCAAGAACTTGCATCTCACTCAATAAGTAATACTGCTTCTTTGTGATTATTGCTATTGTTTAATATTTTGCACTTCAAGACTAAAGTGATTGCTAATTTATATTATATATTTTTATATCTCTTCACTTTATCATTTCTTTCTAAAAGTCAAATCTCACCGAGATATACCATACATGTCCCAAATATATTTAATTATTTATTCATTTAATTAACTAAATTAATTGATCAATTAACTGATATTTATTATTTGCTTTTACAAAAGATGAATATTATAATATTAAGAACATTTAGACTATGTTGTGTACTTTTTTCCTTCTTACTCTATTCAAACAATTAGAAGCTAGTAAATAAGGGGAACTAGAAGCAGAAGTAGCTGTAATTATGACATTCACTAACGTTTGATGCCAAAAATATTTCAGTTGCTGGATTTCAGTCAATTTCATCGCAACTTATAGCATAGCAAACCTATAACGCGGATTCGATTTTTAATATTCATGCATTTATCTTTTTATCTCTTTTATTGCCAAGATTTAGAAGAGTGAAGAAGTAAAAGAGAGACAAGTCTCTAGAATAGATTTGTTGTGGTAGAATTTAGACTAAATTCTTTTCTTGATTAAGTACTCTCTTCTTCCCAACAACCTTTAAATCCTCGAATAACTCATTCCTATATAAAGGAGCAATTATTTTTATTCCAAAATTTTATTATTGAGTATAAACTTAAAACTCTTACAGCTATCATTAACACGTTTGAATATCATATGTGAAAGGTTTTGCTTTTATATCGAACAGCAATCTTGAAAAAAAAATAACTGACTTACTGGTATAAATAAATGGGACGAAGCAAACAGATGAGTATCGCGAGCACCTATATCATGAATGTATTACAGCTAAATCTGTTGTTTTTCAAACATTTAACGCTGTTTCTACAAAAGGTTCACATTCAGTACTCACATTTGATTCAACGAATCGGAAAAGATTTTACGCATTAGTGAGCAAATAAGAGGATTTATAATTTTCACGCACGATCAACATTTTTTACGAGGCCATTCTTTGCCAGTAAATATCAAATGTTTCTGATCTCTGTTCTACCGACATGATATGGTACAAGTTTTTGCGTTTATTCTGTCTTATTATATCCGAAATGATAGCCATAATTACGTCGCTCAATGTGGTCCATCAAACAATGCAAAACGTTAATGATGTATACAACGATTTTCTCATATATGGCATAACGCAGGTTAGTTATTGAATCATATTGTTTTCAGTTTATTTTGATTCAGTACAATAATGTGCAGTCTGAAACGGTAGTTTAATCTGTCAGATTTACTATTAATAGATGCTAATAAATCACTGGGTTATTAATAACATAATGCTTCGTAACATATTTTAAGAAATTTTTAATGCTTGCTTTATTTAAGCTTCTACCAAAAAAATTAAAAGTACGCGCAATAAGTTTTCAAATATTTTTTAACCAGTTTGCATTGCAACAGCATTTCCGTAAAGTTTCACGTGTAAATTAGGTTAAACGCGAAATTAAAAACTCTCATCATGTGCAATAATTTTATGATTTGCCAGTTTCTTATATTGAAAATAGTCAAGTTTACAGGACTGTCAATTGTATTTTGTTGAATATGTCAATAATATGTTAATCAAATCATTAAAAGTTGATCGTAATAACATATATTGCCATCCAAATTTGGTAAAACTTCACCTTCGTCAAGGAACCAAACAAATCTCACTTATGCTAACAATGAAACAGGCTGGGAATCAAATTTGTTTGTTACCTATTGAAATGCCATCACTTGAAACAATAAAAAGTGAACAAATATTCAGGTCATTCTTGATTTTTTAAAATCTATTCTGTGTGATCTACTGATTTATTATTGGATTGGGTGACAAAATTATAATTTCAATCAGTAGTTGTTTTCTCTCTAAATGTCGACTAGAAAAAGTATGTTCGGGGAGTTTTTTCGTTTTTCATTTAAGTTGTATAAAAATCAGAGAGTAATTGAATTTTTAATTTCATATCCAAATTAGTGTTTTGACTTTTATAGGCTTAATCTTTTTTAGTTGCATTAAAATAATGATAACATGTTTGCAAAACTAGCACTTCTATATAAGTATCAATTAGGTTGCAAAAAAGAAAACTTCAACTGCCAAACAACGCTATCTTTTTAACTGAATGCTTGAAGATGTAAATATTCCAAAATCGAATGCAGCAAAACTTTACATCACATATTATAAGTAAAAGAGGAGTTTTCATCCTTATTTCCATATTCTTGAGGGATATATATGATAAGGTATACGAATCAAACTAGCTGAGTTCGTAATTTATCTGCAATTTCAGTTATTCAGTATTTACTTCATTACCTTATTCTGCTTGTTCGCAACTTAAAAACGATAGTTTTATTCTTGAACCTGATTTATCTTTCATAGACACAACATTTTCTGATATAATTTACTTCATCAATAGTAAATTGACGAGTCGAAAATGGGACATACTTCAATTTTGGGTATGTTTTTTTCTATACTATAGTGTGGTGATTCATTCAGTGAAATTTAAATATCGCGTGGGCATTCATTCACTTCGATGCATAATACTTGAAAAAATAAGCGACACGATCGAAACTTTTAACATTGAACAAGAATTGAACAATAAGCGTTTGTGTGAAAAAAAATTAATGCGAGCAAAGACGGACAAAAAGTCAAAAAAACGTTTGCATAATGTTTTGAACGCGTATTGCAATAAAAATTTATTTTAGATCAATGAAAATGGTAATTTAGTAGCGATTAGACAATTCGTCATTCACTACCCAGAAAAAGGTTTCTGACTTTTATAGGCTTGCATACTTTACTTCACTCATAGAAATCACACTAATGATTATTTATGCAAATCGAATCTTCAGGCACCCTTATCAACACTGTACAATTCAATCCGTTTATAGTTCATCTCGACATGAAGCGATCTGTGCTGTACATACTGAATCGACTTCAAAGAAATTTACTCTACCAATGTTCTTTTGATTTACTTTTTCGGTAATTTACTAAGTTTAAACAACTTCAAACAATAAATTTAATGTTTAGTTGTATACTGTAAATAGATGGAGAATTACAGGTCATCGTCATTTCCACTTCAATGGCTTCAAATGGATGAAATACGTCATCCCTCCAATGCATGGCTCGAGTCATTTTCTATCGACGATCAGTTAATGCTTTTTACAGAACTGTCTAACAGGGTAGTAATTTTCTTTCTATGATTTTGATTCTAGTTATCATGAAGTGTACAAAAATATTATTTCAAAAAAATAGCAAATTTGATTCCAATTAAAGTTAGCTCAGCATTAAATTGGAACTTTTGAATCTACACAAGCAATTTAATAACAATTTAGCTTTCAATCTTACGAATTCAAGGAATCGAAAGTAACCTCTGTGGTGTACATAACAAATCTAAGGACCCAAAATAGCATACGCCTAATATTACAACTGGATTTTGCCACTGATATTGGCTTGTTGAAAAAAGGAACTTACGAAGAGTTGTCAAAGAGAAACATTCCTGCTTTTGGTAATAGAATATATACCTTGAACTTTTGATCACTTCTATCAACGACCTTCATTACTGAAAAACTCTTCCGAATTTTATCTTGTAAAAATTTTGCTTTCAAATCGAGAAAAAAAAATCATCTTTTACTTTCTGTTTTTTAGTTTGTTTAATGCGAATGAGAAATTTCGTGAATATTTGATCCTTTTATCATTATTTCATTAGGAGAAATTTATCTGTTTGTTGCTAAGCAAATATTTACCATTGATATGATTTTTTTCGCGCTCTTATATTAAATATTGAAAATTTTGTAATCGATGAGTTACAGGTAATGTGCGACAGTTATCAATACAAACTACTTCACAAATACCAACAACATCCTCTGAACCACCCGTTTTCAATACGTTTTCAATATCCATGTCTACAGTACTGTCGAAAGTTACAATTACTTCTACCGAAAAAGCAGCAACAGTGAATGGAATTGACAGATACTACTCAGACATTGAAAACAAATTTGCTACAAACGAGAAAGATAACAATGAGAGAAATAGAACTACTGAATATGAAACCGAACGTTCCACCACTGCCCATTTTCCGTCATTATCAACATATCGTGTTCGGTAGATATTACATTTTGAATTTTCCATGTTTCAAATATAACAAAGCATATCATTCATTCTGTATCCTAACGAAAATTTCTATTTTTATTGAAAATATGTTGCAGAAGTAGATTCTACCTGAATAACTTTCGAAAATAATCAAACTACAATGCTTGCATCGCAATACTGTTCTAACCAAAAAATCTCAAATAATATGCTTTTTGTACAAATGATGAGCAAAATGTGATACAGAAGTAAATATTTAAAGCCCATCATAGGTTAAATTTTATATAATGGCGGTGAAAATTTCCTGCCACAAAATATTCATCCTCAAAGAAGAATAAAAAGGTGATTGCATGAAATGTGTAACGTTTATTTGCGATGAGTAATTCATTTATATTTAAATTAGTTCTAAAATTGAATTAAGTTCAGAATAAATATGATTGGAAAAAGGAAATGTTAAAGAAAGAGAGCATTACTTGCAATATTTGATTCAGGTTAACAACAGAAGCAAGTAAAGAAGATAAGATTCAGAGTGAAGCAATGAATATAGAATCAAGCAGTGTGAACGATCGTTGGTCAGTTATGCGTAGTGAGGAAATGATTGATGAAAAAGACGTTGATACTGAATATGGAAATGAATACATCAAAATGGAAGAGAATGAGCAAACATCAGGAATGGACGTAAATGATAAGCAAACAATACATACTTCTCAACGTACTATTACTGCAAAAGATGATGATGATGACCGTGAAACCATTGCAACTGTCCCACAACACAAAGCAGTGCAATCAACTGACCGTGGAACACTTCTGTCAACACATATCACGACGCAACCTTCACATCCTTATTCTTCTCATTCTGCTGCAAGAATGCTTATGAAGGAATCACGAGTATTGCTATGTTTGCTTGATATCCTTCTTTCGCATTTATTCTTCTATACTTTTTGAAATGCATTAGACACAAACTGTGCTATATTTATTATTTATTCATGTTTATACTCAACTCTGCATCTTATCAAAGAAGCATGAATAATCTTTACATTTTTAACAAATATGACACAATGTAACATTTGATAATTTTATTTTATAGAACAGAGAACTAGCGTTCTCAGAGTGCTTCTTGTATTGAATATTCGGAAAATGTGTAACATTGCAAGCAAGAAAATTGATACTATTTTTTTCAAAATAAAACAGTGAGTAATAAGACTTAATATATTGCAAAATTGTCAACTGGAAGACCTGTAATAACGATTAATAAATTAAGAAGGAAGATGGAGCAATGTAATACATCTTAAAACAAAATGACGACTATATCCGAAAATCTTAGTAGGCAAATACTGAAATTGAATAGGACAAAACTATAGTTAACAGTTGAAAGCATTAATGACATATTTATGTCTTCTATTTCCAACGGAATCTGCATGTCTTTCACATACAGTTAAAAGTCCCACTGCGAAGGACAATAAAATATTTACGTGGTTTGCAGTTGAATAAAACAGACATCTGCTAAATTGAGATGTACAGAGTATTACCACGAAAGTGTACTGATATTAGCGTATAGACAAGAAACAAAAAAAATAGCTACTCATTAAGAAAAATCTGAAACTGATAAATGATTCACAAACATGAGGTGTAGTCACCAGTAAAAAAGCAACACTCCACGTCAACAACAGATTAAAAAAAAAACCACTTTTCCGAAAAGTCAGCAAATAAGCACAATATTAAACCTTATAATATAGTACTGAATCCAAAGTACTGACTAATTAATTTAATAACACAATAATTTCAGCATTATTTTAACTCATAATTTGCATTTTGAGTGTTAGATTAATGGAACTTTGAAATAGATAATGCAAAAAGAAGAAGAAAAGAACGAAAGAAGCAAAAAGAAATCGAGAAATGCGAAAAAAGATTGGAATAAACTGAAAAATAGAGCGATATAGAGAGTAGACGCAGAGACAAGGAAAATTGAAGATGCTGAAAGCATGCTTTTTTTATAGCTGAAACTGAGATACATTGATGATTGCAAAAAGGGCTCGGCAAAGTTGCACAGTCAGTTATTACCAATTGCAGTGTTATCGGCACTGAGCCAGAAAACACCTTCACGGTAGATAGAAGATATTTTATTTTTTTAATAGGATACTAGGAAGTACTTTCTTGCTCGTTTAAGATATTGTATTATGTATGCCAGTAGTTTTATTACTCTATGTCATCTGAAAAATGAAAGAGCTAGGGGATTCGATTCATAATAGTTTTTTGATTGCTAGAAGGGATATCAGTATAGCAAGAATTTATCATTGTTACCTTTTTGAAATCTTTGGTTATTTGACTAAATCCTAAAACAAGAAGTGAGCAGGTTTAGTAATTTTAAAATTTGCATGACTTTTTTGTCGTACGTAAGCTGTGAATGTTTCTTCCAATCATCTGTAATTTTTGTGATTTTATTGCTGAATAATATATTTGATGGGCGTTCTGTTCATAGGTATTTCTTTCATTACTGTGTATTTGCTGCCTGAATAATTTCGTTTCTGAAGTGTCTTGTATTACGCTTTGTTGAAGAAATAAGCTTGTAGTCTTTTTAGTTACGAGAATAACAATGAGATAATGGGAAAGCATGTTAGACATGCTTGCAAATGGCTTACTGGTAAGGTTACTTTTACTATTTGGTAATTTTTATTAAAATTTATCATATACAGTAAGTTTAAAGTTGTTATAATTAGGAGTGGAATTTGCATAGTTATATTTAGTTCTTCTTATTGTTAGGTAATCGTTTATAGAATGTATAGGTTTTCTGTTTGGTTATTCAGTATATGCCTTATTTAGTTTAAATTTTAGGTTCCGTTTTCTACTTCCACACATTTTCATCCGTTTTCCAAGCAACTGTTTTGCATCGTTTAGAAAAATGTATTACAATTTTACGAAATTTTGTTGCTGCATTAGTCAGCTTACCACATGCTAATAATCTTCTCTTTACGCAAGTTGGGACTTCATTTGTATGAGCTTTGTCATAACCAAGATAAGAATGTTAAAAGTTTTGCCAGTTATCACCGAAACAGTATTTGTTGAATTTAATAATCATCATTAATCGGGTACTACTTGTAAGAAGTATGAAAGGTTCAAATCACAAATTAAAATTTATTATTCCTGTTTCATTGTGATAATTTATTTTATGACCGAAGTAGCAATTCTGTTCACTTTCCTTGTTACATTTAGAAGATGTCTAGTTGTGTTTATCTTGTATTATCAATTTTACTATTTTAAGTAAAGCTATTTTTGTGTTTTCCAGCTCTTGTTTCGAATGAAGAGCGAATGAGATAAATTAAATTAATAAAATCAGAAGGGGGTTTCGATGACCGAATACAAACTCGTGGTGGTTGGTGATGGCGGTGTAGGCAAATCAGCCTTAACCATTCAACTCATTCAGAATCACTTTGTGGAAGAATATGATCCAACAATTGAAGATTCCTATCGGAAACAGGTCGCACTTTTTTGTTTCTCTTTTACTTCTCACAACATTTAAGGTTTTATTTTCCAAAATAATACACGAAATTCTTTAGGTTGTCATTGATGGTGAGACGTGTTTACTGGATATATTAGACACAGCTGGACAAGAAGAATACAGTGCAATGCGAGACCAGTACATGAGGACTGGTGAAGGTTTTTTGCTAGTGTTTGCTGTTAATGAAGCAAAGAGTTTTGAGAATGTCACTCAATACCGAGATCAAATTCGAAGAGTCAAAGATAGCGATGAGGTATTTCACTTTTGCATTGTTATTTTACACCATATTAAATTTTTTATAATTCTAACTAACTGCATTTAAACGGTAGAATTGTCGATAGTACATCTCTTTCTTGGTCAGATTTCATTTATTCACAATTTTCATTATTGACTGATAGAAATAGATAAAATGTTGCAGGTACCTATGGTTCTCGTGGGTAATAAGTGTGATTTGGCGCAAAGAACTGTAGACTCTCGTGCTATATTAGACGCGTCTCGTTCACTGGGAATGCCTACCGTCGAAACTTCTGCCAAAACACGTATGGGTGTAGATGATGCTTTTTATACGCTAGTGAGAGAAATACGTAAGCATAAAGGAAAGCAATGTATCAAACCGCGAAAGAAACGCAAATGCATAATTATTTGAAATTGTTATTGATGATGAGCCTCTTTCAAGTCATACGGTTTGCGCAAGTAAGCTCAAGACTTTCTGATATGCGTGCTTTAATCAGCTTGCATTGCATTCTCGTAGAAATGTTTCGAGTTTTAACAAAGTTCTTTATGAAAAAGCCATAGGGATGATCTGTTGAGTCCCGCGGTTTGGTTTAAAGACTTCTGTGCACTGTTTTCCACGAAGTAATTCTTACCGGTGCATTTTTATGATTTGTTTTTATTTTTTGCCAGTACGGTTATACAATCGCTAACTTCCTTCGTTTGAATTATGTTTGTAAAATTATGAAATTGGCAAACTCGTTCACTGTTCATCATCGGATTTCGAGATATAAATTTTAGCTTTCTGTGCGGGAATGTAGGACATATCATTTTGAAGAGTTTGTCCAAAGTACGTTGTATAAGTGGAAGTAAACGAAGAAAATATTTGGTGGAGTTCTCATTGTTTATTTAAAATTATTGTTGATAGTGTAATGAAGCTTTACATTTTTACTCTTACAAAAAACATCGTTTCTTGTTTTTGCTTGATTTAATGGTGTCATCTAAACTTTTGAATTAGTAGCATTTGTGAACGATAATAATATTCCTGTCGCTCATATCACTTCTTTTCTCTTCCGTACCTTCATTTGCTGTTATAGAATTTTTCCTCTGATACATTGATTTCATCATCTTTGCTATATAAGCTTATTCAGTGTTATTGCCGGTGGGGCCCTTTTTTAAATCAAGTTTGAGTACTTTGCTTTTTTATTTTCATGTAAATCATTTGAATTCTCATTAATATGTGTTCCATAGATGCCGTCTCATGGCTCACATAGTGAAGCAGATGTTGTTTCAAGTTCCATTGCTTTATCCTTGAAATGTAAGACGTGTTTTGAATGAATTAACATTAGTTTACAAATGATGTAATGCAGGTTTCATTATTATAGCTCATTTTAATTGCATTTATAGTATCACAGATTTGTACAATTTTAAATATTTTGTATAAATTCTAAATTAACATGTTATTTGAGTAGATCTTCTGCAATATTTAGTAATAAAATCAGCAGATAATCAGTGGTTTAGTTGAGTTTTTAAAGTGAGCGTAGGAAATAAGTTCATAATCCTTTACTACGATTTTTATTTCCAAATGGACCTATTTTCTTAACGTTATGAAACGTGATGTTAATTAGAAGTTGCCTTTATTTATTAATTCATGCTTATCCAAATTAGGGAATTATGTCAATAACTTAGTAACATAAATTTTTTGGTGATTAAATTATACAATATTATCGCCGTCTTCCTGATATTAACTATTGGTTGGCTGTATTTGTTATTCTCTTGCTTTCTCGCTAAAAGCAGTAGTTTAGTCATCGTTTTTTGTAATGATTATAATCTAGAATGTATTGTCCTTGAAACAAGTGGCAACAGACATATTCTCGACCATGAAGTCTGTAGTACTTACTTCGTTGCATTATAATGTTCATGCGTCAAAAGTCATTTGTAATTGCTATTGTGTTGAAAATTGTCCAGTAGCATTAAGATAGGTAAATTATTGTTTAAAATGATTTACTTTGTAGAAAGATAAATAGCCTGATTATGATGTTTTTACGTTCTTTGTAATTTCAAGAAATGTGTGAATACCAATTAAAAAAAGTACTAGTCCGTTGCACCGTTGTTTTTTTAGTCACGAAATGTATCAGTGAGGATAGGAGCATGTGCATATCTTGATGCTTACATTCATGAAAATGTTCATTGCTTGTTTTCGAAGCAACTCTAGTTGCACTGTGTATGGACTTAAGTTTTTTTTTCTCCTAAATTCAGTTTTTGAAATTTTGTTGGTCCTGTGGATATCTGTTTTTATCAGTGAAGTTGATGCAGTGCGTTATTGGCATATGTAGGAATGGGGGGTTGTATGCGTAAATCTTGTGTATGTCATAAATTATGTACTTGTTTTTATTTCATGTTAATTCTACATTAAAAAATTGCTCACTTAAGTTATGGCATGTTCATTGTTTTACTATTATCGTATATTTTGTTCAACGAATTTTGTTAGAGACATAATTTTGGGTTACTGGTAAAAATTTCTGATGAAATAAAAGCTTGAAAAGTCGGGAGGTTGGTTATTCAGATTATGAAGGTAGAGTGGGTTATCGAACTAGTATATATTAACTTTCACATGAATTGAATTGATCTGGCAATGAAATTAAGGTAACGGAACTGTGATTTCTGCGTTATTCAAGCTCGACCTCTTTCAGATGACTCGCAAAAGAAAAAGCAATGTTATTACAGGAAGTAACTGTCAGAATAAGGTTGATTCGTATGGGTCAAGTTTGGTTAGCATTGGTAAGTTCCATATTTTAGTGGGCAGTGTTCTTGTGAGAGTCAAGATTGATTTGGTATATGTGTGGATTCTTTTTTTCATTGAGTGCTAAAGAGTAATATTTCATTTTTTCAATTTCAGGAGGGAACACCGTTTATCAAAACCAGTTCATGAAAGATTTTGAGTCGCGGTATGGCCCAGTGGAACATTCTCCCAGGTTTGTTCCTTGTTCTTTGGATAAAGTTCTCATGCTTTCGGAACTGTTGTATTCTTGCAGCTTTGAAAAAATCATCTTAATAGTTGAATAATAGGTATGACAGCGAATAAAAAGTTATAAAAGGGTTTTTTTGTGCTGCTGAATTTGTTGTTAGGAACCTAGAGTTATCTTACATCAGAATTTAATTAAATGCAGGAAGAAAAAAGTCGAACGGCGATTCAGACCATCTTCAGAACAAGTACATGAACTAGATGTGCAGTGTAAAGAAATTGAGAAACTGGAGGACACTGCTGAGTATCCTTCAGAAATTGTAGAGTACATGAAACAAGTTCTCGGCATTTTAGAAAGTGATCCATCTATATCAGGTTAATAAAATTTCAAAACGTGCTGGGTGTCAGATTTTATTTTGTATCTTAAAATTAAAAGAATGTACTGGAATAGGAATTTTGGTGTGTTAATAGCATGTATTTAGATTTATACTTGTAAATTCAATGTTATCAGGTGGTTTGCGTGAAAAATGTCTCAATGAGTGCCAAGGTTTTGAAATTTCCTTACTTATGTATGATGCATCATCCCGTCTAGTTGGTGAAATATTCACCGGTTATCGCAATGCTGCCAAGCAGTGGTTTCTTAAAATTCTTCAGTCCAGTTCCGAAATTGTGATGCAGCTCCTTTGTATGCCCTCAGCATGTCGTACATTTGAAACTTTGCTTTATTCTTTATCTTACGATGAAGATATGGAGGTAATTGATTCGAAATCAACTTTATTCATTGTCATTTGATTTCTGTTTAGTAATGAAATAAGCTATAAATATATGCATATATATAATATCATTAATTGACGGTTTAATTGCATTGATAGTTATCTGTACGTAGAGGGTTAATCAAAAGAAACTTTCCGTTCTGTAATTAAAAACTTGCCTCATTTTGCTTGCAGTTTTTATGTTGAACGTTCTTAGAATTAAAATATATCTATTTATTACCACTAAAATCTTCGTATGATTCTGCTTTTTTTTGTTATGAAATTCACTACATGAGTAGCGATTTATATCAATATTTAGATAGTTCAGCTTCTGGCAGATATAATTATCGGAAACTGGTGGCAGCTGATAAGCGACAAAAATGCTTGTTATTTTATTCGATCTCTAACTTACCACCTTATTGGTGTAAAAAGAAAAAAGATGTCAAGAAAAGGAAGTTTTCCAGACAAAGATATTTATTCTTTAGACCTGTCTAAAATTAATCCGATCGCTAAAGAAATCTTCAAGCGAATTGCTAGTGTGGCTTTAGATTACATTTCAATGAAAGGTTAGTGTAATAAAGTCTCTCGTAGTACTTCATTTCATTTTGATTTTTTTAGCGAAAAAGGCAGCAAATATAAGTGTAGCGTGTATAGCTATTCTGATATAGAAATTGAATGGACGTTACAGATTTGTTAGATGAGGAATCTGTTTCCTTGGTATTGCAAGATGTTGTTGAATGTAACTCAGTTTTCCGAACAGAGCATCTTCAAAATTTTATTGAAGCAGGCTGTAAAGATTCGATGTTAATTTTACAACAGTGGAAAGGAAAGCAAGCATCTCATTTATGGGAAATTATAGTGCAGAAGGTTGTACTTAATTTTTTTAAAATGCATAATTGAACTAGAACTCAGTGCGCAATAATTTTACTATTATTTGTAGACAAATGAAGATTTACGCCAAAAATTATATCATTCAGTGTTGAACAGTAAGTTGTTTGATCTTTCTATTCATGGTTTCGCCAATTTTCCAGTGCAAAAATATATCATGTCGGCCAAATCAGACGAATTGGTTTGTTCAACATTTTTTATCAAAATTGGATTCATATTGTATAGAGTATAGCAAACATTAAACAATTTTAGATATAGCCAGTAATGTTTTATTTTAAATAAACTTGTTCATTCAGATTAATGTATTTGAGAAAATGTTTCTGAATCAGTTTGCTATCTGTAGTTGCTAATAAGGATGGTCAGAAAAATATTTCAGACCAACTTTTCTGTTTAGTAATGTATGCTAACTTATATCTCTTATAGATTGCTGATATTAGTGATGAATTAATGAATCACTTTGAAGACATCTGCGCCAGTTGTAAATGGGGAGTTATTATTGCTTTGGTTAACAAAGCTTGTAATAGGATTGAAGTAAATGTTGTGAAAATGTTGAGAAGTTATTTCAAATGTGGTTCCAAATCAGCAAGATTGACTTTTGTACCTAATGTGTTCACTCTCAATACGGAAGCACTTTCGGATTGTAAGCTGTAAAAGCATATTTCCTATTTGCAAGTTCTTTGCTGTAGTCGTAAACAAACTAGCTATACAATATATGCCTAATCGGTAATGTATGACCTATGTTACAGTCAATGACACAAGAACTTTCGACGTCTCTAAAGGACAGCTGTATGGATCTCTTATACTTCAAGAGCTGGTTCAGTTTGAACATAACAAAACAGTGGTATTATCTCTGAAATCGCTGTCTAGCACAACAATTTTAGAACTAGCGGGAAACCAAAAAGGCAGCTTCTTATTGCAAGCCGTGTTCCGCTCTTCCACTATATTACGAGCAGATAAAGAACTACTTGCAGAACCTTTGAAAGTTAGCAGCTTGGGAACTATGAGAGGAAAAAAGTTTCTATAGAAAAATAACATTGTAGATTGACTGTAGTGCATGTACTTTTTTTGTGTTTAGTTCAGTTCTTACAATTTGCTCTCTACAAAATTTCGTTTACAGCAAAAGTGGTATGAAGTATTGAGTGGTAATGTATCGAGTCATATATTTGATGTCTTGTGGGATTGCCTCTACAGTACACAAGAAAAAGAGAAATTGATGGACGCTTTATCAAGGACAACGCTCAAAGTGATTTTTTCGTTTACTTTGGAATTGCTTTAATCTGGGCTCTAAATTTTCGAAATTCGAGAAAGTTGCTTTTGAGTGATATACATTGCCTCAACACAGGCAGCACATGTTAAAAATTAAGATTAGGATCTATTTCGTTTTTCTTGCAATACTGAACGCCCAAGATTTTTCATTAAAAAAAGACTGAAGTTATACCCCTATCCTGTATCTGCTTTTTCATGTTTCCACTCATTAATGTTTATCTCTGCTACTGAAAAGCTTTTAAGAACTCTCATGTTTTTTCTGGACTCTTTAAGGAATCCAGGAAAAGCTGAAAGCTCAAACGTCACATTGCTTATTGTTAAATTTTTAGAGTACCAGGACGTTACGTCTTATGTGTACGAAATTGGATTTACGCGGATTCAGAGAACAACGGAAAAAATGGCTAGAAAATGCAAAAACCGTAAAACCCAAAAAGTGAAAATTTTCTTTTTGATTGTCTAAAAATAAAAATTATACCTTTTTAATGTTTGAGTAATAAAGAGGAAGAAACCAAAATTTGTCTGCATGTCAATAAAAATTTCAGGCGAGAAACTTGAAGTAAGAATATACAATGTTTTTATTAGCTAGTAAGAAGATTAAGTGACTTGTTATCACAAAGGAAGTATAAAACGAAAGAAAACAAACATAACAGTATTTTGAACTGAAGTTTGTTCAAATTAATTGGCGGTTGCATCTCATGAATTTTCTCCTGCACTATCACTCGCATAAAGTGATTCTCGTACGGCATTTTCTACAGCGGCAGCGATGGTGTTTGCATCTTCTACTGTTTCAGCCTCAGCATATACACGTATCACGCTTTCAGTTCCAGACAAGCTAAACTATTTATAATGCATTAGATTATTCAGAGAAGTTCGGCTATGCTACGCAGTGAACATTAAGTTCGTTGAGAGATGATAGTTTTTGAAGTCAACGAACCGAACGAATGACCGTCCATCAGTATATTTTCCCACAATAAAGTCTATTGTCTCCTGCAGTCTTTTTGGTTTCACACATATCGTTTCGTCTGCACTCACTTGTATACGTGACCCACCATTAATCTAAAAATGTTAATGAGAAACTACTGCATTTGACCATTGTTATAGCGGGTGCCTTGCGAAAAGTACCTGCAATTTTCTTTGTACGCTAGGCAGTTCCTTGTACAAGCTGCTCCAGTTCTCCATAGTCCAATCATAATGTCTTAAAATCATTTCAACTGCAAGTAAGTCGGTCATAGCATCGCCCACCACTGTATTAAGCAATTTTGCGAGACAAAGCAATCGTCTGACACCAATCTTCTGATAAATCTCATCCTTATGATTTATAATAGTTCTGCAAGATTATCGGACATGCAATGGTACGCAATCAGAAAAAAACGGATCGCTTGTTTGACGAGCTTGCAACAACGAAGTGCATATAGAGATAATTTCATGAAGTATGGATAATAGTATCAATCTATCTCTACCTGATTATATCGAAAAAACGAGGGCTGAAATGAACGGATCCATGTCCATTGGCTTCGAAGTAAACCGCAATGTCGTACTTCATTGCTTCTCTTTGCAAATTCTTGATACCAGTTGCAACACATGACACGTTTAGCCCCTGAAATTGAAAACTTACGATCAGAAAAGCATTTGACATATAAACTAAGCGAAATTTATTGGATTCTGGCAATCACTCCCATTCTGCAAAAAAATTACAGGAATCTTATCCGTTAAAAGTGGGATTAATCATGCATCGTATTATTTGTTGATTTGTCTCAGTGTAAGAAATGACCGACAAACTAAACTTACCAAATTATCTCGTAAGTACTTCGTGGAATTACCATTTGCATAAGCTGTTTGTATTACTGATATCGTAAACACACCACTAAGTCCAGTACTATTAACTTGCTGAAAAAACCGTTCCATGAATATTTATATTTAGCTGATACATATTAGAATAAGAATAATACCTCTACGATATATTTTGAAAATAGTGCTGCTATTTTATCTCCATCTATTAAAACAAATTTATTTGATACGTCGCGATAGAAATAAACAAGGCGGTCTGCATCGCCATCAAAAGCAGCACAGCGCTTAAGAGGTTCAATATTATCAAAATTACGGGGGAACTTCTTCTCCATTTTAACATAGTCTGCTCCACACTAAAATGAATATCCCATACAGAACCTAATCAAAAATTTATGTGCATAAAATAAATTAAAGAAATCAATGGAGAAAGGAATAATTTTCATGACAGAGAAACGATAACAATTTTTTAAAACAGGCGTTGCTCTTTATATCTTAGAATATTCAAAACTGTCACAAGTTTTCTCGCACAAGAAGATGACTATTTATAAGCAACAAACCAAATGGTTCACTTTTAAAGTCCATGTAAAAGTTGATCAATTAACAATACACTTTGAATAAAATCTCAAGAAATCCACATTCTCCATTAAAAAACCACAAAAACTATTTCCGAAACTAATTAATCACAATAAAAGTTGTTAATTATGAATCAAACCTGATCATTGAGGAGTCGGTCATGGTTGTTCACCAAATTGACAATGAGTACAGACCAGTCTATGTATATTAGAGGAAACTTTTTAGCACCCACGCCATTTGCACAATCCAAGTATAATATCGGAGTGTAATCTTTTCCTTTTCGTGTAACCTAATAAAATTACTCGAAATTACCAGCCGTTATTGACGTCATACATGATTTTTCCAACGCTCTTCTGGTTCAACTTGGTGATGGTATGAAAACTCACAAAGTTTAAGCCAGCGAGCGCATTACAAACTTTAGCATAATACCCAGTCTCCGTAGGTGTACCATAAGAAGAATCGTTCTGACAGCGAACGATATAATGCAGTTGTGGCGTCGTCAACAACCCTGAAGTCGCCTTTAGTTAAAATGTAGGCAAGTACGAAAATTTTCACGTGAGTGAATGAAGTAATGACGACATATTTGAAACAGTGATCACAATTTAAGGAATTTCAAATTTTTCAGAAATTGATCAGTGTGCTTCCATGCTAGCTTCTGGATGTAGAAATTATCTGAAATCGAAGTATGAACTATGATGACTGATAGACTCTCCATTAATGAAGATTTTAATCTCAAATACGATTATAGCAGTTAAGAATTTTCTTCGTAATGCGCATTGTGTGAAAGAAATGAACCGGCGGAAGGGTATAATAATATGGCTGCTGATCATCAACCCTGTAAATATGCCCTTAAGTTAGCCTGTCTTTGGTTCACAGTGTCCGATAGAGACTGCAAAGAATATGTATAACCATACTTCAATCACTTCGCACATTTATATGAATCAACCATCCCAGGTTATGATGAAGTGGACTTGAAATGACAAAGCTGCATTACAATTCAGCAATATAATGGTATCGTGATCAATCCGTCAATAAATAGGAACCAAATTCTTTACCCCCAATTTTCAGAGAGTAATATTCGAAAATACCAAATCAGTCACCCAGTCTCTGACCACCGATTCTTGCATATTGAACTCCAGAATATGCAGCATGCTCTAAGTACTTCGAACTCGGGCGTGTGTCGGCCGCTATGAAAACAAAGCCATATTCGCTAATCCTTCCAGCAAATCTACATCGGAGTTCTCGCGATTTTTTGGCGAATTCATTATCACTAAATACAGAAGTTTTGTAAAAATATGAAAAATTTCTACACAAAAATTTAAAAAAAAACAACAAAATATTAAGTGACACAATAAATCTACAAAGTATCATAGAGTATAGTTAGAAATTTGCCTTGTATTTATAATCATATTTGCATATTTCTCCCAAGCAGAGTCCAGTACGGTTCCCATCGGGTCAATCAACTTGACTCCATTGTCACTGATCGGATTATGAGAAGCTGTTACCATGATACCTACAGCTTGATTTAAATGTCTGCAAAATAAGTGATAAATCTCTTCATAAGACTTAATAGCAATTTTTGCTATACCAACATAAGATAGCACAAATTGCTCTTAAATAAGATTTCTTGTAGTATTTAAGAAGGAACTAGAAAAGCTTATGAATGTCAAAATTGAAAGTCTCAATTTTTATAATTAAACCACTGCTTAAATTGCAGAATTAAATACTATTAATCTTTCTGAAAATACTATTTATAGTGAACAAAAACAGAACAATAAAAAAATACCTAGCGCGGATTCCTGCCAAATATCCAGCACGAAATACAATAAAAGGTAGATATGCCGAGTTAGCTCGAAAACCAGCTGTTCCATAGTAGAATCTCATCATCTGAGGAATAGGAACTTTTCTTCCATTATGATCGGTGTTGTTTTCTCGAGTAAATATCCCAGGGACATCAGCACACATTATCAACAGGAGATCCTGCAAACTTTCTCTATCTTTATGAATTTACCTCTATAATTTCTAGATTTCCTAATACGCGTTAAGTAGATTACAAATCGCTGGAAAAAATAAAATTAGAAAACTTGAGAAGTTGCTGCTATATAAAAGAAAAGTTACAACAAAGACTGGAAAACAACACCAATCATAACCCAAATATGCCAGTCATATGTGAATAAACGAAGATGATGTGATCACGAGTTACAAAGAATGATGTCTCTATACTCTTCTTAACAATACTTGAATAAGTCATCATGCTATTTTGATAAATAAGCACGAATGTTTACGATACGCTACATCTCCTATAACCTTCTTTTGTATCTCAACACTACTGCTAAGAAATTACTAAACAACAAGCAAATTAAAGAATCACTGCGACACCATACCTTAATCTCAAAACCAACCACTACTAATATTATTCAAATTCTGCGCATTCAACACAGCTCGTTAAAATTTAGTTGGGGTCGTTGTATGCAACATAAAGTGAAATTATTAAGTTCAAAGTTTTATATCTGCAAGAGTTGTCAAAGTTGAAGAATTTTATTATCAGCATAGAATTTACGTATTGTCTCTACGTCATCCATCATGTAGCACATCAAAAATTGTATTCAGAATTTTAATCTCACGTCTTCTAACATACTTGAGGGAGAAAATCAGGATTATTAACTCTACTGTAAACTACTAACTTCAATGATTTGCAATAATTAAAAACATTGAAGCCTAACATATACTAATATAGTATCAATTAACTTTTGTAGTAGTTCGCAGTCTACCAAGCTTCTCGTTTAATATTTACTACAGTAGTGTAGTGTGCCGCTTTTTATTCATGAGCAGTATTTGATTCGTCTTTACTTTTCGGTGCAATCAATCTGATATTGAAGCTAATAGATATTGTCTTGAGAGAATTGAAGTCTGTTTGATACTGTTGAGAGAGAGATTTTAATGAAGGTTATAGAAGATATCAACGATTGAATAAAATTCCTTCATGCTTCCTTACTACCTTACACATTGATTATCACTGTCTTTTACTATTCTGTTTGTTATATTCAAAGATCTTGTAATGTCATGCCTTGTTCCTTATAGTGCAAAAAATTAAATTTCATCAAAAAAAATTCTTTTTAACAAAAATTAATAATGCAGTGATTAGGGCAGATAGTTCCAAGTAGTTATTTTTAACAATTTGATATCATATTCAATTTTTTTGTGATAAAAATGAAAATTAACATTGATTACAATTACAAATCAAATTTTCAGCATTATGATAGCTATCAAAATATATCACACTGAATATAAAATGGTATACGAGATTCTAACTTAGCTAATGAAGCGTAGCATTTGAAACATTGATATTATTATCCATGAGGATGGTTCGCTTTTTGCGCTTCATACCACAGCCCATCAGGGTACAACGATTAATACATTCTTGCATGCATACTGGCATACAACATGCACAACATGAGGCGGAACTAGAAGAGCCAAATAGGCTAATTTGAGGAGAAGGCTGAAGAAAAGGAACTAATTGAGGTTGTACTACAGATGGTGGTGCGGGCTGTGGTACTGGCATTGGAATAGGTTGCGGTACTGGCATTGGCATGGGTTGTGGTACTGGCATTGGCATGGGCTGTGGTACTGGCATTGGTATGGGTTGTGGTACAGGTCTAGGAACCGGTACTACTACTGGTCGTGGTATAGATACTGGCACTGGAATTGGCTGCATTACACGCACTGGCGGTGGTATTACTGGGGGTTGTAATTTCTGAAAATAATGTAACAGAAAACGGAAAAAAGTATGAATATAATCATGTAGATGATAATAGCGATTATTAAAATGTATTTTAATTAACAATAAAAGATCCTTTATAATATTTACGAAAGCAGTTTGAGCCGAAGATAAACCACCGCAGCATGATAATGCCATCGGACAACAACAACAGATCTGGCGCTTCGATCTCGCATTAACTAAATTGCGATTCACATTCCAAATTTTCAGCTGTGAATCAGTCAATGACGTTAGCTGAAGCAAACTGCATATTTTTTTCCTTTCATATCGAATTTCTTGTAACTTACTTTAGTTTATACTTTATAATTTTCCTCTAAAAAGACTGCTTTTCAATATACTTTTGATTTCTTTCATGTAAAACGTCATTCTACTTAAATTCAAAATGCATTTAGATGAACAGAATTAATAAAAACATGATATTACAAAAGTTTACATTTTCGCCTGAAACAATAGCAACAATCAAGCATATCCACTGAAATTGTAAAAACCGACTGCTTGGGATATCTTTGCTAATTCTCGCCATAAATGATGTGATTCGCAGTTTTTCTGCTTGGGAATCAAAATTTATAGTACTGAAGACGAATATTTACAGAACTACTCCCCAAATTTGGTATTATTTATTATGTACGTTCGTGACTGAAAAAAAAAGTAGAAAACAGGTCAAGTAGCATCGATTAATTCACGTTTCCAACTACAATTTCTTGTGCGGGATACCCTACCCCTTTCTCTCAAAAATTTTGATATGTTGAAAAATGTTTCAACTTGTAGTTTAATATCGTTTTCTCCAATACATTATTTTGAAGCTGAATCGAAACCTGAAGGATAGCAGAAATGTTGTGTGAGTCACAAGTTTCCGCTTTAATTCGAACACCGTCATCACTTCGTTCATGCTTTCTTTCAAAAAGTTGAAGTGTCTCGAATTCGTGATGTCTATCACTTATGAATATATTTCCATTTTAAAAAATTTGTATGCGAATGGAATATTATTTCTTTCAAATTTTTCTCTCATCTTGAATCAACATATTTTGCGGTATGCTCTTTCTACTACCTTAAATTTCAATTTGTTGTATTTGATTCATATTTTGCAAAATTTTTATATAAATGTCATAATCAAATTTGTTAGCATTTTCCAGTTGTTGGAAAGCAAAATACAAAATACAGTAAGCTTTGTAAGAAGCCGCTATCAAACATTATTCTCATACATTTTTCATTATTTAATAAAATTTTTAACGGATGTTATTGATGAAATAAATTCATAAATTTTATAGATGAAAACCATTGTATGAATGACGCTTTGCTTAAAATTAATCGTATTCATTCTGAATTGACAAAGTTTTATACGTCAGATTATCAGAAACAAACATAATACAAATCAAACGAAAAATTGCAAGTGAAAAGTGACTTCCAAGATGAAAGCGACTACACTGATTATATTATTTGATGGTTGTCACTCTAATATGTGCTTATTTATGTTTTTTTTCGAACAATTTTTCCAACTGTATATTTATTGATCAAAAATTTGATTTTTTTGTCACTAACAATAGGTTTGTTTAAAAATTAAGCTGGAAAACTTACAATGAGTGAAATCACATAAAACTTATCATTAGAAAAAGTTATAATGCATAAATACAACGAATACCTTTTACCAGAGATCACTGTAGAGAAAGCACATTTTGTAAGCAAGCATTCTGTGTTATTTCGAAGATTTCTCATAGTACTTCTTCGCTTAATTTACGCTTGAAATTTACGGCTTGATTAAAAAAATTAAGCGATCATGGCAGGCCTATCTATAAAAAGGTTGCAATTCTTTTGTGAGAAATCTTGAACTTATAAATACAACGTTCTTCAGTATATGCTCAAAAACAAAAACATTGGTTGGTAAAGCTCAGAGTGATTAACATTCTAACAGATATGTCGAAAAAAAACAGTTCAACTTTATTCAACTACTTCCTGGAAGTCTTCAGTTTCTGATGACATGTAAATATTTATTTTCTGAGAAGATATATTTTTCTATCAAATTTTCTTACACTATAAAATCCAGTGAAAGTTAATGGTATTCAGAGGCAAAATTGATGATAAAAATGAGAAGAGAATTATGTATGCAAATACCAATTGTTGTATGAATATTTTTGTGGTATTACTAATAAGTTACCCTTTCTTGAAAATATTTGATAACCAGGGCAGGTCAAACGAGACGATTCAACTTAATGTTGAATCGAGTTTGACGTAGAAAATACTCGACATTACGCAATGGCATATTGATAAAATCTGAGTTATTACTTAAAAGTTTACCAAATTGCATTGCATTCTGTATGTTTAGTAAGTTAGTCATATGAAAAAATTTAATAATAAGACATACATTTGATATGACTGAACTGAAAGCGTGAAGAAGATACAATTAAAGGTGCAATTATGACGTAAAAACTTGTAAAATAAAAATATTAAAGCAATTGTGAACTTAAAATGAAGCAAAATTTGAAGAAAGTATTGTGCTTCATACTGCTGCAAAGAATAACAAAGTTAACGATGATTAGCAGTTGTTTTGCTTTCCTTTGACAAACATTCCAACCAGTGCTTCTTGCATCAGAAGGCCTTTAAACGTCTTCACTAATTGAGATTAATAGCAATACTTTTTAAGGCAATGAATGGAATAGAATAAAAAATTCTCTAAATTCTGTTTCAAAAGACATGCAAGAAAATGCAAAGCATTTCATTGTGTTTATTTACTTCTCTTAATCGCGCTAATTTCATGCCACGCCATCATATATGTATGAAAAAATTAGTATCAACTGGATGTTACTGAATATATTTATGATTTTCAGCACACTAAAAGTCGTGAATTATTTCATGTCAAAACAGTTGAAATAATAAATGACAAATCAGCACAACTGCATGACCCCGAAGGTCAATTATTATAATTTACTGCTTTTATGAATAGACTTAATTCACAAATATTTTGAAAATTACTTTCAGTCACCGTTTAACGAATTAGTGTTCAAGAAGAGCATATTTATTTATTTTTTTGGTACTGTAGTAAAAATTTTTCGGTAGAGGAATAACAAGTATAGTGTTCATGAGTGTTCTGTTCGGTTGTAAACTTTTGGTTTTTTGCTTTTCCTGTTTTACTTCCAAGAAATTACAGCTTTTCACGAATCTTTTGTTGTATTCGTCATATAGAGTTATAGCTCAGTATGGCAAGTTTCTATCAGTTAACCTTCAGAAAGCTCACAGATGCTTAGACAGTATCTCTTGAAACTTATAGAGATAAATATTGATAAATCGATTGCGTTGGTAAATTTTATTACAAGCGATATTAGATGAACTAGTTTGTAGTATTCTTCATTCCAATTTTTTTTTTCAGTAACTTATGAAGCTCTCAGAAAATGTCCTTAATCTTGTTCCTCATCTTTTCTAGTTTTTTTATACAATAATTTCATTATAAATTCAAAGGTATGTTTTTGAAAATAATTTTTTTTCGTGTTTTTTTTTGCAGTTGCTGAATAACATTACTTTTTTTTTTACTATTTAATAGATGCTATGAGAGAACATATTTGCAAAATATTTATTAAGTGTTACAAGGCAAAAGAAGGAACTAATCATTCAAGAAGTTTCAGTATGTAAATATTGTTCAGTGTGCGGATATGGTGCTACCGAAAAAACTAATCGTTGCTCCTTGTATTTGTTTCTGTTCAACTCATCGCAGTTGGTTAAATTATCGCCATGGACGAGTAGTTTGTTATTTGCTATATTATTTTAGTTTTTTCATTCTCATCAATCAATTGCTATTCACTGATATTTCTTTCAATGAAATTGAACATATCGCCATGTTTATTTTGATATTTTATTTAAATTTATTGGCATATATTTGTATAAAAATAGCTCAGCTGGTTGACATAAAAATTATTCATATATTTTAACCCATCATGGATCCATATCTTGACACATTTAAGTTATAAATTAGTCACTTTAATAGAAGCAGAGTGTTGTAATAAAAAACGTGATCCATTTTTTAGCACTTACTAAAAAATCTACTTTTTCTATTTTATAGATTTTACTGCTAAACAGATTATGGGTTGAAACATATAGTTTAGACACGTTACGCTGATAGTGCATCGCTTTGTACTGAAATGATAGGATCAAGAAACTTCGATAAACTTGATCATTTACAACAGCTACTTCTTTTGGAGATGTGTGATTGTATTCGAAAGAAGTACGTCGCCATAAAATTTAGTATTTAATATTTATTTTATTAATATAATGTTTATTTCATTGAGGTGTCAAATGTAACTAATTCTTATGAATAATATTACAACTTGGATGGTTTGTCGTTTTTTAGGCTTTCATCCTTGTCGATACAATATTCTTTGGATCAAACATTACCTCGACTTGATCATTCTGACATCAAATCACTAATAAAGTAACATTTTTTACTAATTTTTGGCGGATATTCCTTGGCTAATTCGAAAAAATATATTTTCAACATTTTCTAGCTGTTACATACTTTATTTTTAAATGTCATTCATACTCTTTGGAGACAGTATGTTACTGTCATAGATTGAATATTTTTTGAATTGTTCAACTTGAGCAAAATTGCTCATCTTAGTGCAAATTTTGATATGGATCTGATGTTATTTGTTAACTGTTTGATTCCTAATGATTTTTAATGTGATTTATGTTAGTCTTTTCATCAATTTCAACTTGCTGCATAGTTTTTTATTAGTTATAAAACAATATTGTCTTTATTTGACTTTGTCATATGTTTACGAATTACTGCTTGCATAGAATTTCAGGAAACGTGTAACCTTCTCGCAGTATCGTGCATTCTTATGGTCAGTTCTCAGTCACTTATTGCCGCATAAATTAGTGGGAAGATGCAATATGCAGCTGGCTGTTGACCGTATTTCACATATTTTGTTTAAACTTGGGTACTTTTTTGTCCTTAAAAATGGAAAATTGAAATTTAAGGTTGATGTAAATGTACAAAATTTTCGTTCTTCCAATGACTGCACAAAATTGAACTTTTGTTTTCTTGATACGTTCAGTCTTAGCCTCTTGTTCAGGTTCGATGAAAGCATCAGATTATGTGATCTTTATTCTATTTCTTTTAAAACTTCAATGTTAAAGTGGGCAAAGCATTTGCCATCTAATGACTTATGTGGTATACAAAGGAAATTTTTGCTTTGGTTACTAGAACTCTGTATTCATGTAACAAGGTGAGCAGCGTCGCTTTTTTTTTTGTGTGAAAAATTTAAATTGGTGGGAAAACGAAGACATAGCATTGTGAATAATTGCGAAAATCTTGGTTAGGAAGAAACTGTAGTTATGGTACAAAATTAACAAGTAACGCTATACTTTCTATAACCTTCATTTTATGTAAGTATTTATGCTATTCTGTGACATTCGCTTGCCCTAGATACTTTTTATTGCAGAGCTGCGTTTTACGTAACGCCTGAAAACAGAACGAAGCATTTATGTTTTTATCAGAAAAATCAATGGAAATGCATAGAAACTTACTGTTTTCGTTTACTAATTGAGAAAAGAAACTTAAAGAAAGTTAAAGGTTGTTTGGCACTGGGTTTTCGAATTTCGCAATAGCTTCTCTAACTACATTATTTGTTTCAAATCATAAAATTCTTATTAATTTCAAGACTTAGACAAAAGTGCTGCTAGAGCGCGTGTTCGATTTATTCCAAAGAAATCGGTTACTCGTTCTTTGATAGTTTCTGCTGGAGATGCGTTTTTAAAACGATATTTAGTAAGTATGATGAAAATCGTTTCTGTTGTTCTTGACTTAGTGTGCTCTGAACAGCGCAAAGATACCAATGGATCTGTATTCACAGGGGCTGCAATTTGGAACGGTAAATATACCAATTATGTTGTTTCCTTTTGATACCAAACAAATAAGTTGCTAGGCAATAGTATGTGATAGATCAAGTCGAATTTGGAGAGAACTTTACTCTTTGTATCATCTTTCTCTTAAGAATTTTATTTTTCTCCATTTAATCAATCTTTTTTGGTTTCAGGTACCGATGGTTTTCCTAAACGATTTCGAAAATTCACTCGAATGAATGCTTCTTCTAGAATTTATGCAGTAAAAACAGATATCAAAGAATGTTTTGATTGTATAAATCAGAATCTCTTGCTTTCCATCTTAAGGAAACGTATTTTGAATACAAGGTGGAATTTCTTACCTCTATTTTCAAATTTTCTTTGTTTCAGCTTTTATTCTTTCATTATGTTCTGGACAAAACGTATTTTTAATGGTTGCTATAATCAAGAAGTGACATTGCAGTCATTTTCGATTACATGCAGATGCAATAGGAATGAATTATTTAATTTTTGCTCGACAAAATGGTTTTACTTGTGGTCTTGATTATCACAATTGTAATCTTCTTGAAGTAAAAACTTTTCGTTTCTTTATCTATCTGTTTCAGTTACTCATCTCATAAATTCTATGTTGGTGTTAATTTCAGGTTTGTGTATCAGGTGAAATGGTTCTCCGATTTATTGAAACTCATGTCGTTAATACAGAGGTGTGTTTTATTGTATTCTGAGTTTTTAAAATAAATCTTCGTACAAAAACTTGCTTTTTTGTAACAAGAATTGCCCGGTAAAGAATATGAGATATTTTGTTTTTTTATAGTTCGAATATCGTACTGGTGTATATCGCGCTTATCGTGGCATACCACAAGGTAGCCATGCTTCTACACGATTATGTAATCTTTATTTGGGTGCAGCAGATTGTGAAAGATTTGCAGAATTAATGAAACGGCGAGATACATTGCTTGTTCGATATGTAGATGATTATCTGCTGCTTACTACTGAACTGAATATTGCCCATGAGGTTTGTTATCAGCTATAAAGATGTTTCCAAAGTATAATGCAAAATCGTAGATTAGATTAGATGTAACTGGAGATGAATGTTGTTTGTTTTCTTGGGATTTAATTCGTGTGCAGTATTGAAATAAGTCTTAAAAGGAGAACAGAATACTACTACATTTTTTTTTAAATTTAGTTTTTGAAAATTATGCATTTTGGAGTGAATGACGGTTATAATATTATTGCTGAGTCGAAGAAAACTGTAATTAATTTCTTCTGTGAACGCGATGAGGTACTAATTTCGGGAAAGATGGTTGGACCATGTAGTGCTATACCATGGTGTGGTTACATTATTTATCCAGGATTGAAAAAAGTTAGTGAATTTATTATTTTCAAATATGTTCCATATTTTAGACACACGACATTTGATTTTTAATTTTAAATCGATGTGTATCATTAGAAGAATCAGTTAACAGTTATATTTGCTTGTACTGATTGCCACTGTATGCGAACTGTAATATTGCAGTATTGTATCGATTGGGCTAAAATGCATACAGACAAGGCAGTTACATGTCGAATCGTACATAGGATGAACTCTCGAGAAAAAAGAAGTGCACTTCTAAAATTTTTAAAAATATCTTTACTTCAAAAGTTAGTTTGCACTTTCATAATTCAGTGTTCGCTGCGCAATATCTTAAAAACTTGGGAAAAACTGTTCGTTTCAGATACAGGTTGGTGCATCGTTTACCTGCAAGCAAATGGAGAATCAAAGTTCTAAAAAAATTTGCCAGCGTCGGGATAAAATTATATGCTCGTCCTTATGCCAATAAGTTAAAGCTTTCTACTAAGGTGAGAAAAGCCTGATTTCTCTATGTAGCTCATCGTTTCACTTGGAATAAATCTTTTGCAACTGTGGTACTTCTAGGGACGTTGGAACCGCATATTTTGGCAGAAGTTGCGGAACTGGCTTCGACAAGGGTTTAAATATGCTTATAACACAAGGCTCGCTCATCTGTTTGCATTAAATAGTCCACAAATGTATAGGAAATGTTATATTATCCACAAAGTTTTATGATTTTGTCTGTCGTTTTTAATCATTTCTGTGATAAAACAAGATCTGGTACGGTCTTTGGGGTTGTTACGTTAGATGTGGAGAAGCAATAAATGATTCTTCAGCATTAATTTAACTTATGGTTTTAATTCCATAATACTATTTATTGAAGAATATCCGTTATTTTTTCCATCATTTAATTTCGTATAGAGTTAATAAGTTAAACCAACGTGTTAAAGTTTTAATATTTATCTTTATTACTTCGAATAGTTCTCAATACAACGAAATCAGTGTGTTTTTCAACTATGCTGTCAGAATCAAAATTTTGATATAAATCATTGCAACTTAAGGTCCTATTCTAATCACATTTATGCTTTGAGTGTTGCTTATACTGTAAGGATGATTGATGAAGAGAGCTTATTTGATTCTGAGGAGGAAGATGATGACGACAAATTGAAGGACTATCTTGGAGATAAGAAGTGTCATTTTCGCAGAGAATTTCGCACTATGATTTTTGGTTATGGCGATGATAAGGTTTTTTGTATTTTTTAACACCTCATACCTATGAAATTTTAGTTGATTGATCAAGTCAAGAAGGCATTTTTATCGCTCCTTCTAGTGCTAAGAATCATGACACATCTTTGAAAAGTATTTGTCAACTTATCTTTGACTTATTTAAAGTTCTTTGAATATTTTTCTTGAGGTGCCCTACGACAAAACACTGGAACTTTTGGAAACAATTGTGACAAATTACATAAAAAGTATGTGTCAACGTGCTGCTCAGATGGGAAAACCGGACAGATTAACACTTGAAGATATACATTACTTGATCCGACGAGATGTGAAAAAATTCGGACGTGTTAAGGATTTATTGTCGATGAGTGAAGAGTTGAAAAAAGCTAGGAAGCAGTTTGATGAGGCAAAAGCAATATAAGTTTTTATTGAATATATGTTTTTGAACTTTGTGATTAATAAATGCTTTAAATATGTCACAACAAAAGACAGTAGTGCAATGCCATGTTGACATTTAAGATTTAATTTAAATGCTATAAAAAAACTATAAATGACTCATAAATTAAAAGACTAGTGGAAGGCACATTTTTGGCGTCAAGGAATAACATTTATACACGGTATAGATGAAGGTAAATCTAATTTAAACAAACTGATTTTCTGTCGCCATCTTTATAATACATATTCTTTTCCTATGAAATGCTCCATGTTTTGATCCAAAATAATGTTCTGATCTCTAAGAAATCAAACACTATGTAAGATCTGCTATACGTCAATACCGCATCTACTTAGCTCTAAAACTTTTGAGCAAGAGGTATGTTTTCCATAACAATTCACAGACAACATAGAGGGTGTAGATGCACACACATATTTCAATGAATCGTTGCCAACCTCACATCACAAAAATAATTCTTGATGACGAAGGAAGGAATAAAAAGGTTTAAATGCTGATCTCGAGTAGTTTCGATGCTGCAAAGACCCGAGGGTCCTTTAAAAGTTCGACCACATAGGTTTACGAATCCACCTCAACCGTAAACCACTGTTGGTTCGGATCTTGATGGAAGCTGCTTCAGCAGCACGCACTGTATCTTTCACTGACTGCATCAAATTCTGCGCGTTTAAGACAAGTTGCTGCATTGCTTCTTCGTCTTCTTCACTTCCTACAATAACCATATGTTACGAAGAGAGGTCATGTTTGCCAATGCTGCTAACAAAAGTACCTATATTTATCTTTTTTAAACTACATTCTGCAATACTTAGCATGCTTTGGTAGAAATAGTGGATGATTGAACTTTCATATTTGTTTTTGGTCAATTTTGTTAACACACTCTTTGAAACTGTTAGTGTTAAAAAGCATGCCACTCAATTTTACCGTCTGAAGGTTGTCCATATGGCCCGATTGTTGCTGAAAAAACTTGTGGATGACAGATGAAGTTTTAAACTAGTCTAGACTGAATCTTCACCAGTAATATATATAGTTTATGTCCCACAAAAATGTGCGACTTTTCCCTATTTCGGAGCAGCGTATGGTATATTTAACATTATGAACGTCACACTTCATGTCCTCTCATATCCTCGTAAAGCACACTTGTCATACAGATTAAACTCAAAGTAGTATGAAGGTCATTTTTTTTTGTAATATGAAAACTATTTTTAAATCTGAGAATTTCAAGGGTAATTATAAACTCAAATATATACCAGAGAGAAAAGCTAACCTTGGGATCCAAGCATCGTTGCTTTGACAGTGGAAAGAATTTTTAGTTGAGTGGCTATCGTTGGGATTCTTTCGCATACTTGCAGTAATGTCTGAAACAATATTTTTGGAAACAGAAATAAGTATTCACCACATATCATAATGACTTATATAAGATATTGACGCCAAGTGCAGAATAAATTATATCCACAAAAACACACTACAACAATATCTGTATAGAAAATTACCACTCTCATCTTGATGTCAGTACACTGACGAGCAAGTTGAACAGCAAGTCTTGTAACTTCTTCGCTAGAATCAGCAATAGCTTTGGCGCAATCTATGAGATCTTTTTTAGTTCCACCCTCACCACGCACAAGCTGGCTTAATCTGGCCATTAAAATAGCCATACGTTTTGCTGCCGCAACAATTTCATTTTCATGACTTGACCACTGACGCAATTCTTGATGTAAATTGTGAGCTGCACTTAAAATTGGTTGGCTTGATGCTCCAGGTAGTGGGTACCTTTCCCAGAATGCTCGTGTTTCTTCTTCGTCATCTGTTTCCGGCGGAGGTGGTGGACGAGGTGGTGGACTAATTTCTATTGGTGGTGGAGGTCTCGGTGGGGCTGGCAAATCTTCTCTTATGTACATTCGATCGTGAATTACTGGGGTGGTCGGTAGTTTTGGTGGCACCGATTCAATCAGGAGCGTTTGACTAGTTGGTCGTGAGCCATCCAAACCTGTTATTGCATCGCCTACTTGTTGTACAGTCGATAATAAGTGTTCGTTTGCGTCACGCCATTTTTGTGCATTGCCGCCATGACGAGGATTTAATGCCACTTGCTTTGCCTGATTGACCATAGGAGGAATTGCTGAAATATTGAAACAAATAAATGAAATTGACGAAAAAATGATTTTCCTTGTCCAGATATGAATTTTACTAGAAAATGAAATAATGCACGATTATTCCAAAACTTCCGATACTTCGAAATTTTTCGCGATCAAAAAAAAAATGAACAAACCAGAGTGGAGCTGCTGAGCAGCGTTGTTCACTTTATGAACAAAACTTGGTTCTTCTGAATTGTCAGCTTCATTTTTAGCTGTCATGAGGACACGGTTACCAAGACGAGCAATTTGAGACGTATTATCAACCATATGTTGCGCTTCATTATTTTTGATTGCATCTTCACAACGTGCCGTATACTGTCTCATGGCTTTTTCACTAGCTCGAATGAAATCGCCAGTATCTATAGCATCATCCACATGAGAACGAAGTCTATTTAAAGCATCCGAGAACTCACGCCTTAGATTATCAAAATGTTGATTGGCCGAATCACTGTTGTTATGCAAACGTATTTTTCCTGCGTTTATAACTTGTGGTATCATCGCAGTTACCTAAAAATTATAGAATAAATGAAACTCAAGAAAACTTTTTCTATGATATATTTTAAATACTTTACTCAGAACCGTATTCCAGCCATGAAATGAGATGATTATCATTTCAACAACATCACTAACTACATGATGATCATCTTGCTCTTCGAAAGGTTTTCAATTTCATATCTAAAATGGATGGAATAACATGAAGTTAGATTATATAATCCTAATTTTTACAAATGATAAGAAGCAAATTCATATAAACGACTTAAATTCTAAAACAAAGCAAATGAAAAAATCTTTTACTAACATGATTTGCCGTGTCTATTATTGCTTCAACCGTCTTTTTATTTTTGCATGGACCACATTTGGCAACTAGCAAGGCAGTTCTTGCATATCTAGAGCTATATTCATCCAGATTATGAGCTTTTTCATCAAAATTAGATTCGCGATCTGGCATTGATGGTGGTGCATAAACGGCATCAACGAATTGCTTCAAAGGTGTATTAATATCAGCAAAATCTTCTACCACACGATCTGTGAGCACTTTCTTCATTAAATCTGCTAACTCATGTAACTTATTACGAAGCTGATTGCGGAGAGCATGCGCTTCAGGGGAATTTCCAAGACCGCGATGTTCCAAATCAGTAAGTTGATCAGCTAGTCGGTCAATTTCCGAACAAAGATTCAACAACTTGGCATGTTCTCCAGGTGGTAAAATGTTACTGAGAACACGTGCTTCTCCTGTCATTGCTTTTACTGCTTGTAATCCTAAAACGACTAACAATTTACAAAACTTTTTTGGTTCCATTTGTCCTATAACTTTTTAAAATATGAAGCATGTTAGCAAAACAGTAAGTACAATTTTAATCTTTCATATAATAATGAAAGTTTTGAGGAGAGTGATGTGCTTGAAACAATTGGTGAATAATGAATGATGAAAGTCAGCAAAAAAGAGTACCAAAAGTCTAAATATAAAACTTTAGCATGAGAAAATCCATTTTCATGCCTCAATAACGTCTACATCCCACAAAAAAAGGAACTCACCTAAACCACCATCGTCAACGCCCACATTATCCAGCCATCTAAGAGCCTGTTCCAAACGTCCTGCAACAGTATGTGCAGGATGCGCACCACCTGTTCGCTGGGTGTTTGTAAGTGCACCTGGCAAAATACCACTAACTTCTTTCGTACCAACAAGTTCCTTCAATTTATTAGCACATCCGATGGCTAAACCTTGATTATCAGTGTCTTGGCCGCGCAATTCACAAAGTGAGTCAGTCATTGACGTAATATCACTCACTGTACGCTTGATAAGGCGAGAATCTTCAGGCAAAGCTCGCGCAGCGATTCGTTCTGAATAATCCAAAATACGTCTAATAGCCTTTTCACCAGTAGCACCAGGACGACCTCGAGGATCAGCAAGCCAGTCCAAAGCTGAGGCAAGTAGACTCTGTGCAGCATTAAGTGCTTTTCTCATCACAGTAACATTATCGCTGTCCCACTCATCTTCATCATACGTTGTTAACTGTAACACACGAATAATTTCGTTCATTTCATCCGTCATTCTTTGTGCCAAATAGTTACGATTTTCAGCTGCTTCTCGCTGACCACGTTGCATTTCTTCAGTAATTTGAATGAAAATTTTCATTGCACAGATCATAATTGGTGAAAGCGTCTTTACAGTATCCATACACCTGAGCAGTATTTCGCGATGTACTTGATGAGTTAATTCTTTCTGTCGTTCATCAACATCCCGAGAAACTCGTGTTAGCCATGGACTGATATCCTAAAATTAGAGACGACTACTGACAATGTGGAATTTTAACTAGCACGACGGTAAGCAAGACCTGATATTATTCTGCTTTAAGAGATATATTTTATTCAACAATGAAAATTTGATATTTTACCTTCACGAATTGCGCCAGATCATCCATGCTTTCTATGACTTCAGTAACAGCCAAATAGTCAAGAACTTTACGACAGCCACGAATAATTTTCCGCACTTCAGATTCATCAAAACAAAGCAGCAAAGCAGATGTACCTTGGAGTATACCTCTAGCGCCTTCAATTAATTTTTTTCTAGCTATGCCAGAATATGGATCTTCTTTAAGCATATGGCAAGCATCCTCTAGCAAACGAGAGCTGACTTCTACTCGCTGTAAAGCAGGTGGCATGTCTGCTTGCAGAATCCGATCATCTGATGAATGGCATGTTTCATAACCAACCTGAACAAAAGCACTTGTCGAAAATCCCATCAAATGTTAAAACAGAGATGTTCACGACATATTGAAATTTTTAAAGCATGCTCTTGAATGTACCTTGATAAGATTATCGACTGCACGAGATACTGCACTAACAGGTCTAGTAAGATCTGGCATTGCGTTACCATCTTCAGCTTCTTCATGAAGAATTACCAAGCGTGATACCAGAAATAAAATCGAATTAGAAGAAACTGAACACAAAAATATGAGAAATATGAAATTGTAATTTTACTGATGCTAGTAACGGTAAAAAGTAAACAGTGTACAGTAAAATATTGACAAAAATTAGGCAAAGTTGTTGTAACTTTGTAGCTTCAGAATCAATCATACACAGCTCAAAATGTATGTTAAAGTAATTTTAGGAATGAGACTGAAAACTTTGTTAGCTATTTCAAATTTCAAGAATTGAAAACTGTGTAAAATGGGTAACAACAAAGTGGTTTTGAAATTTGATTTCCATATACTGCATAAAATATTTTTATATAAAAGTAAAAAAAAAAATTCACGATTTATGTTTCGAGACTTATAATGAAAGAAAATGACAAAACATGAAAAATTTTCATCCATCAAGTCAATATGTTTATTTGAAGGCAAAAATTAATACAATTAAACATATTTACTCCGAAGTGCGGTTCATTATCAAATGATTAGATAATAAATACATGCTAAAGTGCTTCTAAAATTAATATAAACAATTCAAGAAGTAGTTAAAAAATCGAGAATCAAGGTAATTAGGTACTTAAATGGAACAAATCTAAAAACAAACCGAAACGGATGTAACAAACAAGGACGATAACAAAGACAAGATCTACAGAACCATCAGGTTTTCTGGATAACATAATTTGACACATAGTACAATCCTTTACTTTGAATGTTTTCCTAACAGTATCGAGATAAAATAAATTCCCACTTCAGACTTGCTGGCCATGTAAACATCTCATCCACATTTTGCGCATTTTCCATGGCATCTTGATGCGAATAGCTGACACTTCGTAATAGCAAAGTATTTTGTTGAAAAACATTGCAAGTAACAATTAAAGCAAGATGCAGTTGAAGAGAACATGCAAAACTATAAATGAATGTTAGCACAAAAACTATTTGCAGATTTTTCAAGTTTACATTCAATAAACAGAACAATCTGCAGGTGTAAAGAAATACTGCAGTTTAGGTGGAATGAGATAATGAATTCTATTCTTATTTTCTGAAACTAATAGTAACATGAAATTACTTGTTCAAACTACACATCCCACATAACACTGATACCGATAAAATGCAATTCACCTAAATGTGTCTTGATTGATGTCATTGCTTCTAGCATACCTTCCCAAGTATCTCAAAACTATAGCTCAAAAAAAGTTTCATATCTGTTTTTGTGTATAACATAATATCCACTACAAGTAAAACAAATCTCATCACTAGTCACCAATACTGCTGCTGTACAACAACCTATCAGTCTTTTCCTTCCTTTCATTAACTACTTCATTAATTTCATTTATATAACTTAAATTAAGCTAATCTATGTATAGAGTCTATCTATCCATCGAACAATCAACCAATCAACATATCTATCTGTCTACCTACTTACCCCATCTATCCATCACTTTATCATCTATTTATTTATTCATTGTCTATCTATATAGTCTACTCATTAAACTATCCATCTATGCAGCCTATTTATTTACTAATTTATTTATAGATCTATCTACTTGACCTGTCTATACATCTAATATGTCTGATAATCTATCAAACTTTATCAATTTATCTGCTCAGCTCCATATCTACTTCGTAGCACATGCAAGCAAAAGAATCCATCCAAATGCAATCAATCAACTTTTCCTTAATTCATACATTTATGCATCACTACAAGTTTGATTGAGCAGCAGCTTCTCTTAGTTGCATGTTGTGCAGCTAAGTAGAACTTATTTCATAGTCGATGAAACGCCTTTCAACTGCTAGAAAGTCAGATAGATGTATCCCATCATCAAAGAGATGTACAGAATATACATACTTTTTATTACACAAATGTTAAACATAAAAGCTGTAACATCCCGAGATAATCATTGATCCTCAATTTCCTCACCTCTCTTAGTCACGAAAAACGTAAGGAATAATGTGGATAATTCATAAAAATGTTTGCAAAACCAAAGTGAAAACAATAGTACAGGGATAAATATTTCGGAAATGCACGCCAGAAATCTGCCAACAGATTTCATTCAAACCAACTACAATCTATCTACTTTATTACAACTAAATTTGCTTCAAATAACACAATATGGTTCCTCACTTCTCCTTCATTAATCGCCTACTCGAATATACATAGAATAATAAATTTTGTTGTTTTTTCATTACAAACTCTTAATTAAGACTTCACGCAAGACTAATTAATTCATTTTAGAGAGTAACATATCCAATAAATTTATAGCACTCTTAACAATTAGATCAGATAAAATATAAAACTGGCAAAATTTGCTAGAAAGGTTTGAATATGGAAATTATCTGGACGTTTATAAAAAATACCAGTTACAACATACTTGCCTTATACATTTAACATATCAAAAATTGTGAAGATTCACAGACGCTGTGAACAGTTTTTTTTTCTACGCTTAAGAGACAGAAAAAAAATGCGGGAAATAAGACGATGGAACAGGACGTGTTCTTTCTTTGAACTTAAGTAAGAAGGGTTGGTTTACTTACGCTAGCCTGATTATTCTTGCATGGCTCTCTCAATCACTATGTACATACTACGTAATGTCGAAACAATTTCCAATGCTGAAAGGACTAATTATAATTAAATTGCATAAGGAATCCAAAAACCCTTGTCACTAGCAGAAGAACGTACCCAACACCGCTATTTAAGATGCAGCAGTCGATGTCTGCATTTTGCGACAAAATAGTGTTTATCACGCCACACATTATGACGTGACTGAACACATTAATGGAACGAAGAAGTAATGCTTGGATGGACAATAGCAATAATAACGCGGAAAATGAATGGAACGAGCAGAAACCAATATATAACAAAATTTGTGAAATATAGTCTACAAATGTAAAAAAAAGAAAAAGAAAAAACAAGGAAAGACATTTAGAGAAGTTTCAGAAATTTCCGTTACAGCAATGTAAATGAAAAAAAGCTAGTAAATAAGTAAGTAAATAATCACTACAACTATTGATTTACTTACCTGCTGTGCTACAGGTTCCAAAATACTTTCGATAGTTTTTGTATGGAAGACTGGCATGATGATAACGAGTAGCAGTAGCCTGTAGTGGAAGCAAATGTAATGTAAGCCAGGTGAGAGCTTCTTTCCACCTCAATGAGATTAAGATTTGTGGAGAAAGCGTGTGCTAATAAGCCTGCTTTTTCGTATAATATGAAAAGAAGAATGGGCGGGATAAGACGATGCAAAGGTCACGGTCGAATCCACATTATAGTAGCAAGGTAAAAAAAAGTAAATGCACTTGGGTGCCACTATTCAAATTAATACCCAAGATGAATAATGATAGAATGTAGTGCAGTTTCAATATAATTAGATAAGACTGAATAGGATTGAGATTAATTCAATTAAAATTAATATGGACTGAATTGAATTGAATTGAGCTGAACTGGTCTGAAATGAAATGGAGTGAATTAAATTGAATTAAATTAGAATGTAATAGACAAATTAGGATGAGATAAGATCAGATCAGATAAGCTAAAATTGAATAAAATAAAATAAAATTAAATTGAATTAAAATGCAGTACAATGCAATGCAATGCGATGCAATGCAATGCAATGTTCAAGAGAGCGAGCACACAGCACCGCCCGCAGGATCAGCGCATTGATGAAATAAATGATAATAATATGTCTGCTAGCTTAGTTACTTTGTACTGCTACTACTAACTATTACTACTACTACTACTGTTACTGCTATTATTATTACTATTACTATTATCATTACTATTACTACTACTTTGCTGTTACTATTACTATTATTACTGTCATCACTATTGCTATCACTATTACTATTACTATTACTATTACTTACTATTATTACTATTACTTTGCTATTGCTATTGCTATTACTATTACTATTACTATTTCTATTGTTACTGCTCTAGATGATTGCTTTCACGAAATAAACAGATGGTGTGGTATCGATGATAATATGATGTTGATGATATTTGTTACAGCAGTACTGCCTTCTCCTGCTTGATTGCCTCAGTAGTAAGTACGTACACAAGTAGGCAAGTAAGTAGCAGGCAGGCAGACAAGCCAGAACTTTCTTCTCTTCTCTTCTCTTCTCTTTTCTTTTCTATCCATTTCATTTCCTCCCCTTCTCTATTATTATCATAGCAATTTTCTCTTCCATTCCTCATCTTCCCTGTGCGCTCTTCTTTATCCATTTTCTCTCATCTTTTCACCTTCTTTGTAGCAAATTTTTGTTCATTATATCTCTGAAAAAAATAATCCTAGAAGTAACTGATAACTACAAAGTACTCTGAATTCTTGAAATGTATTAAAGTAACTATGTAGGAAATCAGTTAATTGAATAAATAACTGTTTGCTTTATTTATTTCTTTTTTTATTTTTTATTCTCCACTTTCTTGCTACAATTATTTTTGCATTTTCTCAAATTACTTTGAAAATTGTAGTGCAATTTGTGTATATATAATCTTTTTCTTAATTTTGCTTGTAATTTAAGATTCAGTTTAATAAATTTGTTTGAAATTGGTGATGCAACACATGCAACTTCCACATTTTGCCTTGTACGAGATGCAAATGTTTGGCATTTGATCGCTAAAGTGCTTAGCAACTGTTTTATTTCCTGTACTTAGAAACTACACATTTATCGATTCCATCCAGTTTATTGTCCATTTTTTTTGCTTGCGATTTCCGTGTTCTTTACTACACATTTATTAGCATTAGAATTGAATTAAACTACATGTCATCTGAATCAATGTAAATCGCATCAATTTCTACTTTATACAAAGTATCGTGCTAGCTATATCCTTTATGCCAGTTTATTATGTTGAAACCATAAAGTTTCTGTTATTTATATACTGACGCAAAGTTTTGATGCATCGACCGTATTTACTCTTATCAACTGCTGTCTCGTTCTATTTCTTTAAGTTTTCGTGGAAATTTTCTTAGAAAGAATATATACAATAAATCGTTTGGTTTTCAACTGTTCGTTTTTTTAATTTTTCAATTTTTTGCGCTGCTGTCAGTTTGTTAACAAAGAACCTTTCCCAATTCATCTATCCAATAAATGACCTTTCTCAACACATCTACCCAATAAATATCCCACATTTTATTGCCTTTTTGTTATAAAATGTTTACAGTTTTAATAATGTGATTTGCCTTTCACTCCATCTTCGTCAAGGTTGTTTAGGATATCATTCAATTAAAGCTACTGTTATTGTGATTGCCTTCTCTATATCATTGACACAAGAGCTCATTCTAAAGTCGAATGATGGAATATACGTAGATACCACATCTGTTGCAAACGACTTCACTGTTGGAATTAACATCAAATGAATGAGTTTATTAAATTTCAAGGAGATAAAATAAAATCGAAGTCAGTAAACTGGTATGTCCACATTCATCTTACTATGTCATATATTATCTACTTCAAAATAGAATAAGTCTTTAATTATTCTATTTTAAATAATTAAAGATTTATAATAATGAGTAGTTTTCTAGCTTTGTAGAGTTTTGCTATGAAAATCGATATCACTTTTGCATCAAGTATGCATGAAGTTCAAGAAATCAAAGCTTTTACTCACCATTTGTCATAACTGGAGCCATTAACAATTATTCACGTGTTAAAAACTTAAGCATACTCTTTCATTGGCATGAAATTATTCTCAGTACTGCTCATTTACTTATTTCAGTATATGCACTGGAATAGCAGTACTGTTCATGAAATGATATTCTATATTATACAGTAGCTCATTTAGATTGTACCATAATAACTAGCAATTAAGTATAAAGAATATTTATTTTGTTGTAATCATTTTCTCATTAGTAAACATCATCTGGAGGTTGCCATTTATCGTTCGCTTGTAATTCACTATGCCATCGTTAATGTTATGAACGTTATCGGACCAGTCACTTTACGAATATACCTAACTAAACAAAGAATTATCGGAATAATTATTAACTCTTATCAAATAAAGTACTTAACATGATTAATGTGTTTCTTCTTGCACTTATAATAATCGGAAAACTGTGTGGCGTATTTGCAATGGATTACAACTCATAGTTAAGCCTACACCTGAAAAAATGCTATTTTCGTAAAAATTGGTTGAAAAAATTGAAGATTATCGTGTTCATATGCAATTTCTTTAACGCTGCTGATATCATCTTTTAGCATAGTTTGATGTACGGAAATATTTATTATCATTGCTTCCTCTTCCTAGCACTGAGATAAACTATTAGTTTTGTGCAAGATCATTAAAAATATCATTATAGCATGATTTTATTAAATCCGGGGAAAATGACATGAGTGGTTTATATAAGGGTTGGGTTGGGGTTGTCCTATGCATCATGCATGGTACGTGACAGTGCATTTGGTTGACCCAAAATTGAGTTGGGATATTCCGTTTATCTATGGGTATTCTTGACTAGAAATAAACTTTTATTTTTAGTTAGAGCGAGCTAGTAGGTTATGTAATAATTGTATCTCACCAATTTATTTACTAGCTGACCTTGTTCACTTTCTGATGCTGAGCTAGTTTATCAAAGAAATTCTGGTTACTCGATGTGAGTTAATTCCTTGACTGAGTCAATGGTGGAAAAATTTTTTAAAAATCAATCTTGAGGACTAATGATTTTAAAATAACTTGGAAAGTAAAAAAATCACGGGATGGTTTTTGATCGTACCAGTGTCATCAAACTTAGTAGAAGATTGAGTTAAGTTCTCAGGTAAATAGTGAATTGGAAATTATAGATTGATATCATTTTAAATTAAGCTCTTTTTAACCAAATAAGTTATAATCCATTGACTTTAAATATTAAGCGATATTTTTCATTCGAATCATATAATTTTTTTGTTTTCATATCGCGACTATTATATAAGCCAGCTTATCCAATACTTTTTTGAATACATTCAATATTTTTCTGTGTACTTTTTCCTGGAGTTGAAGACATTAATGAGTACCTAAAGATGCTTTGGGACGGTAATTCTTTTTTGCTTGCTGTGTATCATTTTTAGCATTTTTTTTCATTGGTGCAAGGGAAAAACATGAAACAGACAATTCATATATTGTTAGTATAGTACTTTTTGATCTTAACCATTGGCAAAATGAATTGATATCAATATTTTTGCACACAGCTCGGTGCTTTTCATATAAGTGTAAGGTTTCAGATGAACTGTAATATTTGATGGAATTTATTTGGAGTTACTTTGGTAAAAGATTACAACAATGCAACTGTATAGCGTGCTATTATTATGCCCAAAGTATATTTCACGGCGAAACATATCCACTTTGCCATATTCTCTAAAGATTCCACAGTGCATTAATCGCTTCATTGCATATATAGACGATGTGACGGGCACCACAGAGATTCGTGAGACTCATGCAACGTTAAGACAGGTAACCCTTTTATCTTTTTAAAGATAGAACTGTTACGGAAGGCGTTTCATTACTGCATTATTGTACTGAATAGCATCATGATATGATGTAACGCTTGGTAAAAATAGCTCAACATTATTATGGTGGCTAATTTAAGGAAGTAGCATTTTGTAAATTAAAAATGGTTTCTAGTTGACACAAGCTTTCTAGATTATTTGCATCTACTTGAGCTTTAAGGTTTTAGCTTTAATAAAATTGTAATTACAGAACGAAAAGACTTTACAAAATGCGCAAGCATTGCGACGAAAGAAACGAGATGAATTAGATATGTTACAATCTCGATTAAAGGAGATTCACTGTGAATTAGATAAATTTTCTCGAGGAGATGATAAGTATGCAGTTATTTTTCTGGTTCACTTTTTTTGTTATCAGTTGCAAACTAATACCAATTTTCAGCTAATATTAGCCATTTATTAATTAGTTCAATCATTTATCGATTATCTTTCAGTTTTAATCCCTCAAAAACTAGAACCTTGCTCAATTACGTATTTAAGGTTGAGAAACAGTGTAGAGCCATAAATGTTTCTTTAAAAGCTAGGAATTTCCAGGTACTGTTGATTACATTCATTGGGGAGCTGAAAATCTCATAAATTTCCAAACATTTTCAGCATTATTATTATTACTAGTAACTTTACGTTTATATAGATATCTTCGTCTCCTAACTGAAGAACATGCGGTAATAAAAAACGAGCAGCTTTTGCTTACAGAAGTCAGAAAGGCAGATGAAGCAGAAAAATTTGCTTTTGATGAATTGTCAAGTACTCTTCGGACAAGTCACATAAAGGAACAAGAACAGTAAGTCCTACTAGGTAGCTGGAGATAGTATAATTTTTATCACATACATATTGACATGTGATAAGAATTATATGGTGCGCTTCTGAAGCTGTTTCTTCATTTGTTGTGTTTCTTTCATCATTTCGCCTTAACAAATGGAATTCACTGAATTGTTTCAGGTCAACTCGAGTAAAGACATGGACAGTCATAGCATCCACTCTTGGTGCGTTATTTGGAATCATCGGTGCTTGGGTGGCAAATGAAGTAAGAATGCGCAAAATAAAGGAACTTGTACCAAATGCTGCAGCTCTGGTACCGTTAGTAAAACAAATGGCGTCACTAGTGGAAAATCAGCAAAACGAGGTTAATATCATTTAAAATGTCTGGTCGCATTATAGTTGAATGTGAACGTTACTAATGATGATTCAAAGCAACTATAACCGTAAAAATATAAGAGCTTGTCCCTTCTAATTCTGAGATCTGCAGTCTTACGAGAGCTTATCTTGAAATCTGTCTAGTCATGTAAACTTATTAACTACATGTTTTGCTATTGAGATTGCTAAAAATTTTTATGAAGCGACATTATTCAAACTTTCAATCTTCACGAGTATCTATCTAAATAGCCTCATTAAAGAAAATATTCTGCTTTTGAGTAGAAAATTATAGTGATTATTACTTTTACTGGTATTGAAGTTTTGCAGTTATATTATTTAATACCCCACGATCAGAAAAAATCATATTGGAAGTTATTGTAGATAGCCTCGTTTATCACACATGTAAGAAATGTGATGCATCTCAAGACTCCTGACGAGATAGCAAACGTTGCGCCCAACAAAAATGTAGAAGACGAGATATCTGAAAAGATCATCCACTTGCTGCAAGAACAGAATAAAGTTCTAGCAAGGGAGCTAGATGAAATAAAGAGCCTGATTGCATTGGAGTTGAATTTAAACGCCGAAATACCCGGTGTAGTGTATATTGGTAGTGACCTAGAGAACCTTCTTGACAAATCAGAAAAAAATATCGAATCCAAGATGAAATTGCAAACACTTGTTGAAGTAGTTTTCTTGTATACTCTTATAACTGTCTCTATACCATTGATCTATGCTTTCTTCAAGAGCTCTTGAAGCATGTACATGTTACATCCAGCTCTTTGTGATGGCCATATCTTTGTTTCAGTTCCTATGTGTTATCAAAGCTTTGACGGGTGAGAAATTAGGATTATATAAAATATCATACGCTGCGATCCCGTTGCTTGTTACATTTACATATAGTTCGCTTATATTGTATTTTTCACAGGTGGAAGAAATGTATCCACTCTGTGATTTACTTTGCATGCTACACACAAGCATAACCACGTTGAGCTGTTACCTCCTCTCCTAGTACCTACCATCTTTTTGCTCTTCACTTAAACGTATACTTGTACGATGAATGAGCTGTGCACAGTTGCATATGAGACATGGATTCATTTGTTGTGTGTTTTCATTAATCAGAAAAAGAAACTGGAGTAAGAACGCGATATTTCGCATTAAAATCAAGAATGAATATCTGCGTTGTCAAAATCATACATAATGTCGTAAGTGGTATAGGAAATTGTTTATTATATTGAAGACGCAATTACTTTTGCATTCTAATAATCATCACCTCGGCTAACTACTTCTTTACAAGTTGGTCGTAGAAGAATTGTATGTTCCCATTGAGCAGTATAGGAGCCTTTGATATCACAGAGAGGAGGATATGATCGCACGATTCCTTTATCGCACAGATCTTTTAAAGCCATTAAATACTTCGTCTCCCCTAAACGATCCAACCACCTTCGGCAGAAAGCTAATGTCCCAAAATTTTTATTGATGACATTCAGTAGATTCTTAGACCGAGCTAATCTGCAACGTCCGGAAGAGTAGTCTGTCTCTTTAAATGAAATTTAAACGCGCGATTAATAATTTCGCAAATCTCGTCCTTAGTTTAACCAGATGCACAAAATTGCAACAGAATTGAATTCTCTGTCCTAAAATTGTTTTTTACATCTCAAACAAGAAAAAAATTAGACCAACCTTAGAGGAATGTGCTCAGAATGAAGATCAAAATCCTTCATGTAGTGACTACAATCCATATCATCATGCACATAACCTCTGCCAGTGCTGCCAAACGTCTCGATAGCATAAAACTCATTTTCTTCCATTTTTGTTTGTTCGCCTCCCTACAAATGCACACACAAACCCATAATCAAATTATCAAAATCTAATATCAAATAAATTTGAAGCCTTCGAAATATGGTGGGTAAAGTAGCTTACCTTCGTTATCGGGACTGTTTTGCCAGCATGGATACGATAAGGTCCAATTGAATGCCCATTCAAATTCCTAATAGGTTTGATGACGTGTGTTCTGCCATCCAACTCCATCTAAAACCATTAATTTATGCAAACACGTGACTATGAGTAAAATGTGTAAATTTCTGAAGCTTATGAATCTCAAGTGACGCTTAAGATTGTTAAGCCTTAAGTGGTGCCCACATACGATGGACTCAGGTGAAAGAAAAAACAAACAAACAAACCAATAATACTTGAAACAAACCGCTAGTCACCATACTTTCGGGAAGTTTGGGAACTAATGACATCTACTCCAACAGTACAGGTAACAATTTAAAAAGACCATGTACTTAAAAGAGAAAGTTACCTCAAAACTAGTCATGACCTCTTCAATCGTCTCACCAATATCACAGAGTCGAACGTCTATACCTGCTTCTCGAATTCCTGCATTAGTTGCTTCACGCACAGCAGATACTAAAGTATCAAACTTCGGATCGAAATGAACGGTAAATGCGCAATCAATAAGGAATCCATTGACATGAACACCAAAATCAATTTTACAGATATCACTTTCCTGAAGTACAGCGTTAGTAGCACAAGTTCGTCTTAAAGATGCTAGAGACGTATTAAGTAGATAAACCCACTCGCAAAACCGTAGTATCACCGGCATTTGGAGTGTAGTGAGCAGCGCAACTGTTTAAAGAGCAACCCGTTGGAAAAGCAAGTCCAGCGTTAAGCCCATCTTCATTTATCATTCTACGAGAGTATGCTTCCAAACGCTCACTAAAAATTTTCATCTCAATATCAAAATAAAAAAGCCAAATCTAGATTTGGTTACTAAATTTATAATAAAAATCATTAAAAGGTAGAATACCACAAAAAGTTTCTGAATTGTAGACTCAAAATTACTATAATGAAGAAAAGTTATCAATTTGAAAAAGGACAGAAAATGTAAGACACTAAATTACCAAATTTCAATCATTTTCATGCCTGGCTTGATCCAAGACTGTGTATACTTTCGGGTTTGTCTATGAGCCTCTGCAGCACGACGAAAATCTTTATATATTTCCTCATAAGAAGCATCCAGCATCTACAAAAATAGGTGTTCCAATATCGATTATCAGTTTAAAAAAGATAAATCTAACAATACGAGCAGCTATGTTTCACTTTTGTAGTTAAATATCTACACAAACCTTTTTTTCTTCATTTGTGATTCGATTAATGGCAGTACGATCATCTGCCTTTATAACGTACTCAGAGATTTCTCCAATCGGGAAATTCCCATCCGGGAATTGCTTGTCAACTGGCACAGCACTTTTAACTGCTTCCTCACATTCTTCCGTTAGCGTCAATGATTTAGTTTTAGCAGGACATGGTTTAACATTTGCGGTAAAACCTCAATTCAAAACTTTGTATTTTTAATCCAAATCGAAATTCTTACCGTAAATTATCTAAGATTTAAAACCTGCCTAATCCCATTCTTAGCTTATTCTGAAGAGAAAAAAAGAAGTGTCAAACTAGCCGTTAGTGACAACCTGGACTAGGAATACATTTCAAAAAATTAAAAACCAAAGTGCCAATGTTAAAATGGGGCTCTGGACTTTAAAACAGAGTTAGTTTTACGAAAATTAAGAACATGTCAACCTCCCTCATAATCTTTTTTTCTTTCATATTTTATTGACAAAATTGGAGATTTTAGTTCAACCTTTTCCAGTTTTTTTCGACATTTTAGCAGCAGTTGCAACCTCATTCTTAAGAGTCTCCTTCTCAACTTCCAATAATATAGCATCTAAATCATCAAGATTTGTAGCTCCTGTAATAAAGTAAATCTAAAATTTGACTGAAAGCTGATGAGCAGCAAAATACGAAAAATTATGATCCAAAATTTGAGTCGACATCACAAATAACATGATTTGACAAGTGAAGAAATTTGGACACCTTATTCTTCAATGCAGAAAATAATACATGATTTCATATCATAGGAAGTACTTTCAAATATTGTAATGCCCACCTTTATTCTTTGGGTTTCTTTTCTTCTGTGCATTCATTGCGGCATGCAATATAAAATCTTGGTCTGAAGCACGATAACATTTACTGTAGTTGAAATGTATTTTAAAAAAATTAATAGCCTGAGTGTAAACAGAGTAAACACAAACACAAGTATGAAAACGTTCTTGGAGAAATTTTTCCAGATAAAAACGAAAAAGACATGAACAAGCAAACAAGTGCTCATTTTAATTTTACCTCTTAAGTAAACAGCATGACATCGGGAATTTCGCTATAATTTATGAAAAGAAAAGTGCTTCAAGATCAATGCACAATAATTGCTTTCGAAAAGATTCACATGAAAGCAAAAAGAATATTAACAAGTCTAGCACACCTGAAACTACTAAAATCAGAGCAAAAGCAGGAGGTGAAAAATGATAAGACGATGATAGATATGAACTATAATAACATTACATATATCAGCAATGAACGTTAATAAACTCTGTAACATGAAAGAAGATACACAGATAAGATAAATGTGCTGAAGTTGCAAACATTAAAATCTCAAACATCATTGTGCTCAATAATAAACTTCATTCAATTAATGCGCAAAAAAACCATCATTTGAAATTAATACAGCAATTCCATTCCTATTAACTGGTAACAGTGATTTTTCGCTACCTGCAATGTAAAATCATAGAAAACCAAGTGACACAATACTGATGTGCACAACACCTTCAGGTCTGTTTCATCTGCTCGATCTTGGACTGAGCGCCAGCGTCCCTTTGCATCACTTTGTGCACGGCTTTAGCGAACAGAGTTGTCCCACATTAACATGATCATCCAGAGGGGAAACAAAACCAGATAAGTGCAATAAGATTTAGAGAATGTATTAATTAAACATCTTGAAAAGTCAAGAAATTACATATGAGACGTCTAAATCCGTCCTCTCTTCACATGGACATGTTATACAAAACACATGAACGACCACCACAGATATCTGTTTCCTCGCAATACAACCTACTATGCAGTCACTAAGAATATAATTTATTATTGACTCTAAGATGATGAGAAACCCCATTAAGAAACTTACTCATTATGGTTCCGGAATGTGAGAAGAAAGCAAAATTGCTCATTCAATCTGTTTAGCTATGGGTGTATTCCTTAAACTAAGCTGTATCCTCCATCGAACAAGTTGACAGTGTTCGGACTTAATATTTATTCATTTTCTTATATAGGAAGATTTCAATTTGTACGCATTCGATAATTTGAGTATAGTAGTCAGGAAGTTAATATGAACCACACAGTTTTAAGAGCAAAATACAATTTATTATTAAGCAAATATTGAATACAAACGTAAAGTTACAAATGACTTTGTTCCAAAAACATTTTCAACAATGTACATTGCTGATTTCGGTCTGATTATACAGATGGCAATGCTCAGCATGAGATTTCTGGTTATTTAATTAACTCTAGAAACCTTCATCCCAGCCAGAAAACTCATCAGGCGGTATATCTTGTTCTGGAGGATAAACATCAAAGTTTGCCACATCAGATGGACTCGTTACTTTAGGTACGATCGGAGTTTTTAACGTTCTCGCCCTGAGACCTTCCCAATCAAAACCCATAAACCACCTAAAGCAATTACAAAATTACTGTGCTTCAGTCATAAAATCAAGTAATAAACATCAAAAGATTTTTGCAAAATTAACCATTCGCGCTAAAGTAAAAAACAAATGATTGATTTAAATGTGTAAATTTTAATTTCATAAGATTTCTTAAAAAGCTTAACAAAACACAGACCTATGCTTACGAATATCGCCAATACCTCCGCTACCACAACCAAGCCGCTCCCCAGGATTGTCTTTACACAGTTTTTTAACAAGAGCCGTGGCAGTTTTGCCAATACGTCGATTAGGTATTTCTAACGCATCAACACCTTTTAATATGAGTGTATAAGTCTTCATAGGGTCTGCTGCCTGAAGGAGCTAATAATAAAATATATTCAATACCGTCGTTTCAATTCAAAAAATTACTTTTGCGACTTGGTAAGAAACTTAATGTAGTTAATTTGTTTCCAAACTTACTTGGAAAGGCGGACGCCCTAGCATCAGCTCACAGATATAAATTCCCAATGCCCAGTAATCAGCTGCTTGGTCATGACCTTTGTTTAAAATAATTTCAGGTGAAACATATTCTGGTGTACCACAGAAAGTCCATGTTTTGCGGCCGCTAGCCAATTTCTTCGCAAAACCAAAATCAACCTGTAAAATGAGAGTAGGCAAATAAAGAAATTACGAAAGCATTCACACGAAGGAAACATAATGCACTTACAAGTTTTAAATACCCTGACTGTGTCAGTAAGCAATTTTCAGGTTTCAGATCACGATAAACAATATTTTTCCGATGCAAGTGCTCCAGTGCCTCCAAAACACATGCAACATAAAATCTTGCGGTGTAGTCATCAAAATGCCCTTTGTCCCTTAAAGTTGTCCACAACTCACCACCCAAACAAACTTCCATAAGCATATATACGTATTTTGCATCACGAAATGTAGTGTACAACCTAAAAATTTAGTTAGTAGTAATGTAAATAAAAACTGCAGATTGTAAACTTTTTAGTAACAAGAATTTTACTATGATCAAATGAATAAAAACTAACAAACTTTGTATTTTAAGAAATACCTGACAATCCAATCCGATCGAGTCTCCATCATAATATTTCTTTCTGCAAAAATATGTTCTTGTTGTCGTGTGTCGACAATATGTTTTTTCTTCAGTGCTTTTAAAGCAAACGTGCGCATTTTATCCCCATTTATACAAACCTAAATCATACGTGAAAATTAAAATATATTCACACATCTAATATCAAAATTACATAGAAACTCCCAACAACATAAAAATTTTAAGAAGCCAAAAAGAGTAAGCATAATACTAGCTTAGTGGAGAGAAAGTAAGAATTATATGCTGCTGGTAAAGTAAGAACTATACCTTTCACTAAACTGTGTTCTCAATTAAAAGAACTTTTGTGGACTTGGCATTTGGAATACATCACTTGAGTTTTGATTCTCTTTTAATGTCATAATTTACAACTTTCGATTGCAAGACAAAGTGAATACACATAAATTTACTTCAAGATTCAATATTTTTATTTAAAACATGAACCAATTCAACTCGACCAAAACCACCAACGCCAAGAGTAGCAATCCTTTTTAAATTTCTTAGCTGGAGATCAGCAAATTCTTTTCCTTCAGCAGTTTCCTTCGGAGATGGAGGCTCCGGCACGATGCTGCAAATATGTTTTTCATCAAACAAATAACCAAATCAAAATTCATCGAATAAATCAGTGCAAATAAATGAGCATCTAAAAAATTTTAAACGTACGCCATGGCTCTTCTTTGTGAATCCCCATAATCTCTGTTTAAGGCTTCGAGATCTCCAATTAGTTTAGTAAATGATTCTCTATCAAGTGTTAGAACTTCCACACCAGGATTTAATGCGATAACATTCGCTGTTCTTACCTAGAAAGTGCAAGATTGAAAACACAAACTGATCCTTAACGAATAAATTACTACTGCTGTTTTGTGCGTACACCTTTAACGGGTGGAAGAATTAGTCGTGATCCTTTCAGCTACCTACAAAGAATCCATTACACGCTATGAGGAATAAGTAATAAAAAATAACTTCTATCAAAAATTCGTGCAGTAATAATTTTTTTAAACACATGAATGCCTTGAAATCTTTACATTACTAGAATATTATAAAAATACATAAGCATACCTCCTCACCGAGAAGAGCTTTCTCTCCAAAAAAGTCTCCTTGCTTCAAAATACGTATTTCCCGGGGTTCAAGCTCATTTTCAATCTGCTGTGTGACGCGAACCTGACCACTTGTGAGAATAAAGAAGGTGTCACCCTGAAAAAGTAAAATTTATCCGACTGAAAAATTAATAATCAAGAACAATTCAACTTCTTGAACAGATTGTATGTATAAATAAGCGAACTTTCTCTCCTTCTCGAATGATGTAATTACCACCAGAGTAATAATCTTGATCCAAAACATCAACAATTTTCGATATTCGGTCTTCTGATAAGTTTTCAAATAAAGACACCTAAAAAATAATAGAAGTGTTACAAAAGTAGTAAAAATAAATTCCGAACTAGATATGAAATGTTTTACAATTTTGTGAAAGATTAGGTACTATAAACTTTAAAAAAAGCAAACTTTGCTGAGAAATGCCATCAACTGAGCATGCCTTTCCATACCCAAACGCATAGTAATCATTTGGAAGACAGAACGATCTAGTACCCACAACTGAACATCTGACAAAGCTTGCACCGACGCTGTTCTATAAATCAATTGTCTTTCAAATTAAACAGAAGACAATATTGAACACAGTTGTTACAATAAAATGAAAAGATGGATTAAAGTGGAAAACAAATTAAAAAGATTAAATTATTAAACTACTCTAAAATACTTCGACTAAAACATGTAAAATTAAAGACTCCTCACTAAACAGCATAGAATTTAATGAATACAAGGAGGTTTAAAACGCTTGAGACTCCATTTACGGAAAAAAAAAAGAACCAAATAAATGTGCAGCAAATTTATATTGGCTACCTAACACAGTTATAGAGGATTGCAAGTTCACCCATAACAACTCCAGCACCCAACTTTCCTAATGCAACACCCTCTCGAGATACTTGCAGCTGCCCTTCTAAAATGGTATTTCAAATTACGAAATATTATTTTATTTTCATATGCTAGCGAAATAATGAACATAATACATTGTATAGCAAATAAATATCTGATAAAACTTCCCAAAATTCATCTCTTTTTAAAATTAAGAAATTAAGAATTGTATGAAAATAGTTTATAAATGAGACCTGCAACAACAAATAGACGATCACCGGGCTCGCCCTCTTGTATGACCCACTGTCCCGCACGAGCACGCATTTCATACATACATTCCACGAGTTCAATTACTTGTTCCTTGGCAAGCTGACGCAAAAAATCATTTTTTTGAACAGCATCTCGTATGAGCTGCTTTGAACTAAATAAAAATGCTTTTAAAAAGAAGCTATGTTATGCATACATGCGTATTATAACTGAGACGCGTTGCCAAGACAAAAATGATAATTCAAGAACTGAAGACTTCAGAAATATAGGTAAAGGAGCTCTTGATTGAATATTTGGGGAATAGTGATAAAGAGATTTATTATATAATATTAATCTTGCACGTTACCAAATATTTTCTCGTATCCTTTTTTGATTCTTATTTCAGGCGCACTTATATGAAAACAAAGAATTTGTTTTTACATCAAATGGAAGAGAAACTTCATGCACAATATTTGCAGTTACAGAAAAGTTAATTCGGATTGAACAAACTTTAAAAAATTAAGAATATTCCTAGTTTTGTATTTATGAAATCAAATGGAGCACGACTGAATATAAGTTATATTTCTTTAAACCCAAAACTGGAAAAATTACTGAAATATAGATATAACAAACCCAGCAGATTTTGGGTAGTATTGCAAAGTAGCTTTTTGTGCGTCAAGATTAGCTGGTTCTGCGGAAACAGCCAATTTCTTGGAACGAACACCATCATCAATTATGGATGATACTGCCTTCTGTTGAAGTTCAGTTCGCAACTCTTCAGTAACTTTTGAAACCTGTAAGTAAATAAATCACAATCTTTTCATCACTACTTTTATGTAAGATGAATCAATTGCCAAAAATATAAATGAAAATTTTGCAACAATTTTCAAGTGTTTAAAAAACCTTCTCAAGGATTACCAACGAGCAGTTTGAAAATAACTGAAAAAGATAAAAGACTACCTGTTGATTACTGCTCAATACGGCAACAGACTGGGCCTTCTGATCCAAAACAGAACGCAGTTTATCACATTCTGACTGACAACAAATGTATCATAATTGGAAGAAAATAATAAATTAAACCATCTCAATATGATTCAGTACTGACTAAATATATGAAGACAAAGGAACGAAAAAAGAATGAAAATGAAAAATTTTTTTTGCACTGAAACACACCTGTAATGTCTTAACCTCTTTTTCAAGCTCAGCTATCCTCTTCATTTGTGTTTCCACGGTACTTTGCTGATGTCGCATTTGTTGTTCCTTTTTCTCAATAGCTTCTTCCATTTGAGGAATAAGTTTCTGAATTTCGTTTGCATCATATGTTCTTGAACCTATTTGCACCTGGAACACATGAAATAAGAAAAAATTAGACGAGAATGTAATTCAGCTGAATACTACAACAAAAATAATAGGTTCAGTCCGGCTATACTGTAAGGCGACTATTTTTCATCGTCCTCTAAATGGCCAGAATGATTTAAGATGAGATGCAGAAAATGTTTTCAATCAATTACTTTAATTTCACAGTTAATAAATAAATGCTTGTTCTTGCGATAGATTTATGCTCGGTAATATTCGGTTTTAACGAGTGATTGCCCAAGAATAATTAAAATTCTATACCATGTTCGCTAACTTGCACCAACTACATAGCGAGTTTGAAATCATGTATATCTATCATATCTTCGAGAAAAAAATATCTCATTTTCTGTAAGCTAGCAATGATGAACTAAACTGAGCATAAATCCTACATAAATCAAATTAGCGAAAAAGTTCACTCATATTTACTCGGTTACCTATCTGCTTCTTTAAATCATGGAATCAAATGACAGTTAGATTTCATTTAGTAAAGCGAATTATACTTCAAAAAAGATGTCTGAGAAATGAGAGCCTTATTTATGCATTTCTTCTTGTCTTTCTAAATTGGCTGAAAGATACTAATAAAGACCTCCATGTTCTGACAATATTGAAAAATAGCATTGTATGACCTATGATTACAAGTGATACTGTCCGACAAGTGTAAAGTAAATGACGAATAGCATTAAAAAAGCGATTTTTCATTTTACGGCTAATTCACTTATTTTGTAATTTCCGTAATCAAACTTCATGAAAACACATAATCAATAACGAGCGACTTATCAAATTATTGCTATGACTGAAAACAAGCAAATCTTTATAATGGAAAATACGCAGTACATTGAGTATGTTATAACAGAATTAACATCACAAATTTATCTCTTGTACAACTAAATATAAAAACACAATGCGAAAATGACAGAATACGAGAAAGAATTTTACGGGCACAAAACAGCTAACAGAGTTAAGAATGATATTTAGAACGATGAAAGGAAGGCGACTGACCCGAGATAAGGAGAGGAGCTAGCTGGCAGTGACGGGCAGTGCAATGGTTACTGCATGATAGACAAAGAAAGAGACAAATAGGTGCTGCAAACATAGTCGACAATGTTGCAGGAGACAAATACGAGCAGTGTGAAAAAGCGGATTACACAATTTGCAGTCACTGAGTATAAGATTATGCTACTGTTGGAGATTGTGACGTATTCTGCATCAAATTTCTCTCCAGATACTCTACTGAATCGGATAACAAATTAGGAAGCTGCTTCACTGCCGATAATAAGAAACTAATAAGTCATGAGAAAGAGGGAGAAAATTACGTCATAGAATACTAAATCTAGCCAGCATAAACAGATCATAGTGAAGAGAGAATTTGAAATTTGAGTAACTAATAATCAAATATTTTTTTCTTCTTGCCTATTCATGGCTGAACAAAAGGAAAAATATCATTTCAAACTTTCTTAAAATTATACTGCGGTCCTTTGACTAATGATAAAACTTTTGTGAGACGAGCAATTCTGTTAAAATTAAATCCAAAACTGGTATCCAGGGAAATCGTTATCAAATATGGACTTTACAAAATTTTGTCTCTACCACAGCTGAACAGTGAAAATCATGCAGAGCATGATACGAATGACGAGAAGATATCTAAGTCAAGGTTTCCGATATAACTTGCTGATCTAGGAAGTGCTAAGCAGCAGGAAGCATAATCCATCACAAGTTGAAGCAAGATGCATTTCCAAAGTGGGAAAGAGTTAGAACACAAGTTTAATGCTATTACCGATATAAAACATGCACAAAAAGGAGTAGAAATAAATGAGTGTGATGTTAAGCTGAATTTGCTTTGCTTTGCTCCTCTGATGAGATCAATAGACAAATCGTATCATAGACTCAGGTAATTAAAAAACAACAGAATACTGCCGTGATAAATGAAATGGCTAAAATCGATGAGTAGTTTATCTAGAACTTGCTGCTTTTTATCTCGTAATATTCATTCAATCTTCCTGCTTCATTATTATCAATGAAATGTCAGTGGAACAGACAATATCGTTTCGTGAACGATAGATATAAAATTTAAAAAAAAATGCAGACGAAAAATGGAAAGGGCACCTGAACAAATGGATCAGAACCACGAAGCATAATAGCAGCAACAGCTGTAGAGTACGGAATGCAGAATACAATGGAAAGCGGTGAAGAACTGGAAAGGAAAGTAAGATGGATACAGAATCCTTGCTTTCAATCCAGACTATTACAAGTTACGCTTCTTGCTTCTCACCTAATCATATACAACGCCAAAATATTTGCTGGAATGTAGTCTGATGTGCACGCAAAAGCATGAAATGGCAGAGCAATCACTGATGCATTATTCTTGGTAGCAACAATCATAACAATCGCAGCAGTAGTAAGTTAAGCTTGGCTTATCAGATCAGATAACGACGATACTCGCCACTGCAGTAAACTGAACTATAGCAGTAACAAAGTAATCATTCAGCTTTCAACTGCAATACTGCTCCTCACAAAGTGCCTGGGTGTTGATGAGATGAAAGGACAGGAATTCTCTATCAGTCAGTCCTTTTCTCGACCACATTGCAATACTTTACACACTTGCCATCACACAATATATGCATGTGAGCATGCCATGTAAACATTCATGTATCATATATATAT